TTGCTCTACATGTCTCCAAATACACTTGTAACTTACCTGTAACCATCTTTATAACTTAGCATGTGTAAGCAAGATTGAGTTTACCCCGGCTGAACCCTACTTCCCTCTCTCTCCCCTCCCCATCAACCACCTATACCCTCCCTACTGTACAAGCATGGAGGTGGGTGTGACATGCTCCCTAATTGTACCTTCTTTAGTAGTTTTAATGCTATTGTAGAGGGAAGTGTACCCCCTTCCTCTGTGCACTTTCTTTCTTTGTGCTTGTATTTATTTATGTTGTGCTTGTATGTACCTAAAAAACAATTGTAGTCTTTAAAAAAATGTTGCAGTTAGACTTCTTTTCACATGGGCACTGTTGGGCAGCAAAACCAGGCGCTTGAGGCACATTTTTAACTTACCAGTCAAAACCAGTCAGTAGCTTCCAGATATTCTCAAACATATTGTTGTGGCAAAAAAATTGGGCATGTTGAAGGCTATACTGCCTGCTGCTGTGCCCCAATAGAGGAGAATGGGGCCTTTCTACAACTGTGATGCAACCATGTCCAATAGATGTAGTTGTGGTGTGGTGAAGAGGAATTTCAAACAGGCATGTACTGTAGGTGGTGGTATATCCCCTCCTGATCACCTGCTAAATGTGGACTAGCTGCTGCTGACAAAGTGGTCCATGGTGGATTGTAAGTCAGAAGCTAGGCCCATGTGAAAGAGGCTTTAAGGATACGGGTTATTGGATGTTGGGAGGTAGAAGACATAAAGGGTACATTTTAGTGGTTAGGCTTGGTTAGAGGATGTTTAACAAGGTTAGAGAATGTTTTAGTTTGACTTTATTTTGGTGCCGAAAATGAATGCCAAGAACTGCTGAGCTAAATACAAACAATTTGTAAGTCTACGAAGCAGGAAGTGGAGATGAGAATGAACATCAATATTACTCGTTAATGGAAAAAATGTTAGTAGATGAAAATAAATACATAGGGGCTCTTATGTGTAGCTTCTACATAGCGAGGGTATGAAGCTGAACCTTATCAAGTGCATTGTATAAACACTTGTCAAAACATTCCCCAACATGGCCTTAGTGAGTCATACAACTATTCTACTTCCATAACACAGTCTTCTGCTTTTTTGCATTGCGGAGACATTTTCAGGATCACCTATGTTGGAATCTACTTTTTCCTACTCTTGTTTTTGTGTACAGTTATTTGATTTTGTTTATTTTGTATGTGATTTTTTGATTTTGTGATTTTTTGATTTTGCCTTGCTGGGATGAGATGAGCATCGCAGGTTCTCTTTAGAAATCAGTCATAGACATCTATAGTAAATCATTGATGAATCTGATGATTCAGAATCTGAAAGTGGTGTATGTTTAAAAATGGCTGTATGATGGCAAGATATACAGTACCTTTAAAAGATTTGCTGATTTTATAGTGGATTTAAAATAGCTTTGGAAACTGACCTTTGCTCCACTACTTTTTAGGTTTAATGCCCTGTGACAGGAGGAAACTCGTTCACTGTGAGAAGATAGGAAAATGTGAAGCAGGATTAGCATTTAGGGTGAATGTGATGTTCCAGACTAGTGTTTGTGGGCAGAGAAAGCTCTGGATTTAACTTTCTTTGGATTCTGCAGCTCTGGATTGGAACACCTAATCCTGTGTCCCGGTTTTGCTAGGCACTTGCAATCTCACTGAGTAAACAGGAGTGAGGTGTCGTTATATACTCAGGTTCGAGGATAGTTCAGGACTCCCAGTTGAAGACTGCTCCAAGTGTGTGTGAGGGGGGCAGAAGGTCTCATTGAGGGGTCAGAGGAGCCAACTGGAAGCCAGGAGATAGGTCTCAGTTTCAGGAGTCAGGTCAGCTCCAATCGGGGTATCAGGAGAACGCCAGTCCATAGAGACTAAAGGCTAGAGAGCCAAATATCCAGGAGAGGTACTGCTGAGTGAGCTTATGAGCCAGGTGGTTCGGCATTTTCCAGTGTTTGTCTTTTTTGCTGAAGCTGAAGATGATCCCCTGCATGGGAAGTCATTCTGTTGTGAACTTTTGCCTTCTTTTAAATAAAAGTGGTCTACCAGGCCCTTAAAAATAGTTCCTGTCGGCCGTGGACTCACTAAAATAACGCATCTACCACGAGAGCTAAGTACCCCATGTCACAGCACATATACTCTTGCAACATCTGAGTGATGAAACTTATGATCACAAAGGATCAATGCCAAGTCCTGTGATATTAATTCGTAGAAATACACAGTAGATTAAGAATATTCTGAAATGGTGGAAATAGTGGAAAGTCCAGAAGTCTCCTAAAATTATTATCAATCGTCACCAGCATCTGACCAATGACCAAAGACTATATGGCTTGCATCCTTTCTATTATAAATACTCATGTCTATCATTTAATACATCGAGAAAGCTTCAGCATATACTTGGTGTCTGTGTCTGATCTCCTATACTGTAGTATATGTCTTTAAATTTGGCCTCATTGACTAATTTGGGACAAGTAGCTGTACCTGTACTTCCAAAAAAATCCACAGTTTGAATCTCTAGCCGTTTGGCCTTAATGCCCTTAACCTCCCTGGCGCTATTCCCTAGTGTAGCTCGGGGTAAAGTTTCAGCACCAGAAGCGGTAACCCCGAGCTACACTCGGGAATACCCTGCAGCGTTGCTCCGGATCTTTTCTGCACTTACCTTGTCCTACGCTCCCGCGATGTCTCCCCTGCAATGTCCCCGGCAATGTCCTCCGGCCGATGCTGGCATCTGTTGCGTTCCCTGCAACGTCAGGACGTACGGGGGACGGAACCGGCGGGGAAATTTAAAAATTTTAAAAGTGACATTCACTAAATTCACTAATATCACATATATTACATGGAGTTACAGTATAACATTACTGTATCAAACCATTTCACATACATTTTGTCCCGAGTGCTTTGTCCTGTGCCCTGCCTGCATTTTTACTGTTCTTTCTGCCTTGAAACTGAGAAAAGTCCATGGCGTCCAAAAAGCGTCCCTTTAGGTCAAAAGCGGTTTTAAACCAGCTAGAGAACAGCGATAGTAAATCAGAACCACTTGCTGAACTGAGTGATAAGGATTTGTGGGGAAATTCGTCATCAGACACTGAAAACGATTTAGCGACTTTGCTCAGTGATGTGTGAACTTGGCGCTCTATTTCAAATTTCAGTGTTTTTGGTTTGATTATATTATTGAATAAAATGTATTATTATTATATTATTATTTTTTATGATTATGTATTAAATTATAATTTATGATTTCGTGTTTCAAATTTAAACATGCCCGGGATGTTTACTAGACTCTTGTTCGGGCAGATTTCAGTGAGTTATTCCTAAAATTTACAGGCCTACAATAAAAAAACTACCTATTTCCATGCAAAAAATGTACCGCTTTGAGCACAGAAATATGGACATAATCAGACCGCTAGGGAGGCTACGGGGCTATCTGTAAAAATCTGGATAAAAGAAAATTAAAATTAAAAAAAGAGAATAAAAGCATAGGTAACTAATCAGTTTGCATTTATGAATTTCCCTGAGAATAATAGATGGAATCTGATTGGACACATGGAAGAACCAGTAGCAATTTTATTCCTGTTTTGTTTTCTCAAGTTTTTTTTGTTTTTTAATAAACAGCCTTTTAGTAGAAAACCTCTTCTGCAATAGTTTTTTTTTAACATATTTTATTGTGTTTTTACAAAGAAAGAAAAATACAAACAGAAAACAGATAGAGCTTCCCACTGCCTGCAACCAAATAAGTTGCCAAGTTTCTAATGAAAGCTCTCCCCCCAGAATTTTCTCCCATTTCAACATATAGGTGTGTTTTCCCAGTGTCTGCATGGAATGTGCTTTCAAAAGTTCGTATATGTCTGATATTAAACCTTTGCGAGAGGGGCCCTCAGACAGCAATCGATTGAAATGGCATTGGCTTGAAAAGCTGTAAGGAGGGGATTATGGAGAGAACGTATTGCCGTATTTGCAGGTATCCAAAGAATGCCATATGCGGCAAGTTATGTCTGTTTTTAAGGAGAGCAATCTGCCCGTAATGGGATCTACAAACTGGTGGAAGTGAAATATCTCCTCCTGAAACCAAGGAGAGGTCATTGAAGCAGACAGACTATTCGGCATTGTGGGATTAAAGAGAAACAAGGTCAATGGGGATGCTCCCCACATGGGTATATTTGTTATTAAAGTTTTCCACAAGGTTCGAAGAAAGGACATGCTGCACAGGAGATCATTGGGAGGCACAAATGCTTACACATTCCACAATAGATAATTTGAGTGCAAATAATAGATTATTTGGGCAGCGCAGTGGCTAAATGGAGGGCACTTCCGCCTGGCAGTACTAGGGTCGCTGGTTCAAATCCCAACCATGACACCACCTGCCTGGAGTTCTCCCTGTGCCTGCGTGGGTTTATTCCGGGTACTCCGGTTTCCTCCCACACTCCAAGGACATGCTGGTAAGTTAATTGGCTCCTGTCTAAATTGGCCCTAGTATGTGTATGTATGAATGTAGGTTAGGGTCCTTAGATTGTACGCCCCTTGAGGGTTAGGGACTGATGTGAATGTACAATATATATGTAAAGCGCTGCGTAAATTGGCGGCGCTATATAAGTACCTGAAATAAATACATTTGAGTGTATGGGGGCTAACCAGAACTTTTCAACCTCTGTGCAGCGGTAATATGCATATACTGTAGACCAGGAGCTAAGAGCTGACTCCCTCCCCTTTCAGCCATCTGAGAACACTGATGATAGGCGATTGGCTTTCCACATGAAGATGAGAGAAGAGACCCTAGCTCTGTGCAAGCTCCAAATTGTGACTTAGAGCTTACACAGGTCTTCCTGTCTTTGCTGCTGGTGGCCAATCTAAGTATCAGGAGAGCAATAGGAAAATAAGAATGTGCTTCTGGAGGGGCCACCACCAAAATTCATGTATGTACGGCGCTCACATACAAGTAGATGAGAAAATTTTGAATAATTTGGGCATTCATCTGTATATTTTCTTTTGCAGCAAGAAGAAAGGATTTTTTTCAAAATTCAAAAACAAAGACAAAGAAAAAGTTGAAAAGCCAAAAATGGTCAGCCCTTTCACCATGGTAAGTGCCAGCACCAGGGATGGTTGTCTGTGAATAAGTCATTCTATCTAAGGTGAGAACATAGATGTACTTTTGCTTGAGGCAGCTTGTCAGAACCTCTGGGGTAATGATGTTTATCATAGTAGAGGAGAATTGATAGAAGCAGTTAGGTGTTGATATTTCTTTCACATTCAGATAAACCTAACTGCACATCTATATGCAAGACCTCCATTTAGTTCATAATACCTGAATTTGTCTGTGGGAAGGAGGAGAGCCCTCCAAACCATTCAAAGGTCTATTACTCTGTACTGTTCTAATGCTTACAGTAGGGAAAAGTAGATGAAATATCGATCATCTAACTTGTATGTGGCCATTCTTTTTAAAGTAAATGTGAACATGCAAGCATGGTATGGCGATGAGGAGAGGGTGAGGTGTTTTGTAGTCCTGCGAAAGTGAACTCAGGCAGGGCAGACACCACTGCTTAGAATTTCAGTGCAGTAGAGACACTGTGTTGTCTGCTCACTGCAGAAAGTTAAGCAGCGCATAGATCACTTGAAGGATGGGTGGTTGGGTGGATGGCAAGAAAATTGCTCAATTCTGCCATCAACACATTCAGTGTTCAGCACTATTGTATTCTGCCAGCAGGGGGGCTGTCCCAGATGGCAGAGTACAATGATAACTGCTAGTGGCTATAGCCACTTATTTTGCATGAAGAAAAATCCAACAGGCTGGTTGTACCTAAGTACCAATGTACCAAAGTACTAAGTTGTACCAATGGATCGAGTTGAGTAAAATCAGCCTGCTTATACATGGATCGAAAATCGTGTGGTCCCTGCTGAACTGGCCGAATTTTGATCCATGTATGGCCGGCTTTAGGTGCTCACCAGATTCCTGGTATGTCCTCAGGTATCTTTTTGTACTTGAAGCATTTTTTTAAGAGACAAAACATGAGGAGATGTATAGCTCAGATGTACTTCAAATGTTTTTCTTTAAAGAAGAACTCCAAGTCTCCTTTAAATGTTTTGTTTGGGCCAGTTTGTTAAACTAATTTCTTACATTACAAACATACCCAAATGCGTGGCTCAGCTCCAGACTTGCTCCTTTCAACCTACACGGATGACCCAGGTGCTGGCTACCACAGCCCCTCTCTACTCTCAGTCGAAAGTAAATATAAGCCACACTCCAAAACTTAGCTCTTCTTTCTATATTTATTTGTCAAGAGATGAAAACTGAAAACATTAATGTCTCTGCTTGAAACCACCTTCCTTGACGCGTTTCACCACTGCTGGCTTGCTCACATGGATAAACCAGAATGGTGTGACTGCTAGGGATGTTGGAAAGAGAGTCACTTGCACAGGACTTTGGCCATTCATGAACAGCTTTGCATTATATTAAATTAATGTATGGCCTTCCTTGGCTGAGGAGAGGAGGTTGGCAGGTGATGTTAACCTCAGCCAATCAAAAATAGCGTTGTGTTCACTGAAAAAAATGGCAAGGCTTTTCCTGAATGGCCAAGGTGCTGTGGTGCGGCAGCAGAGGAGAAGTTGGCCGTAGTCCTTCAGGAAGCCAACAGCACTTACTGTATGGAGCAAATGCCACTAGAGTGTATTATTGGGGCAGCACAGTCGTTAGCACTTCCACCTGGCAAAACTAGGGTCGTTCCCAGCCATGGCACTACTTGCGCAGGGTTTGCATGTTCTCCCTGTGTCTGCCTGAGTTCCCTCCAGGTACTCTGGTTTCCTCCCACAATCCACAGGCATGCTGGTAAGTTCAATGGACTCCTGTCTAAATTGGCCCTAGTATGTGTATGTATGAATGTAAGTTAGGGACCTTAGATTGTACACTCCTTGAGGGCAGAGACTGATATGAATGTAAAATATGACGTAAAGCGCTGTATAAGTGTATATGAAGAAACAAAAAGAGGGTGCACGGGCCTAGTGCATTAGCTTTAAAAACAAGATTTATTGATAAAGTAAAACACTCACAAAGGAATAAAATCAAATGAAGGGCATTGCACAAAAAAATGCAGCGTGGTCCAATCACCCTAAAGGATGTCTGGTGGGGGACTGTAGACCTCTAGGTAGCTGTTGGCTGACACGTTTCGAGGCGGTGCCTCTTCCTCAGAGCCCTGTATAAGTACCTGTAATAAATAAATTACAGTATCCCCAGCAACAAAACTTATCTGGCATGGTAAGAATTTATTTTAACCAATCTGGCACAAATGAAGCAGTTAAAGTGGTTCCCCCCCTCCCCCTTATACTTACCTGAGTCCAATCCTAATCCAGCGCTGTACTTGAGAGCAGCGTCTCTCTCTGCTCTCTCCCTCCTCACATTGCAGATTGATAGCATCGGGAGCCATTGACTGCTGCTGCTGTACATTAAATCCTCTAACGAGGGAGTGGATGTTGGGCCGTGCATGATTGCCCCCATAGGAAGTGGCTCCTATGGGGATACTCCCCAAAGAGCACCGGCGGAGAACCCCAGAAGAGACGGACTGGGCTGCTCTGCGCAAAACTATTGCACACTGCAGGTAAGAATGACATGTTTATTATTTTAAAAAAGAAAAACTGAAGGTTTACAACCACTTTAAAGTGACGGTTCTCAGGGGTCTGGAAATTTTTTAAAAAGCTTCTTGTCTGGGGACTAAATCGGGGCCCCAATCTACTTGTCCTTAATGACAAAACTACTCCAGATAAAAAAATAAATTTTTTTAACCAAAACCATATTTAAATCTGAGCTGATTTTAGGAATGTCTGGGGCTTTTAAAAACAAAAGGGGCTTTATAGTGACTTAAACGTGTATTGTTTTTAACATTGCGCTGTTTATCTCCTCATCCCCTCCCTGCCTGTCTCCAGCACCGCACCTGGGGACTAGCAGGGAGGGGGGAGACTTTGCAGTGTAATGAACAAAGATTGGTTGCTCCACAGGGAAGGGGAGTGTTGGCTTATACTTTATCCCTTTTGCTGCCAGAGCCGTTTTTGCGTTTTCATGCTGCCAGAGCCGTTTTTGCGTTTTTTTTGCACATGTTTAAAAAAATCACGCTAGGCCTGAAGATTACATAAAACCCCCAAACATGATATATTTTCTGAAAGCAGAGACCCTAGAGAATAAAATAGTGGTAGTTCTTTTATGTCGCATGATATTACCGCAAATAAAAGTTTAGTAAAAAATAATAATTAATTAATTTTTAGGCACAAAAAAGCAATAAATTAGCCTATTCTTTTGTAAAACATAAAAGATGAGGTTGCAGCGAGTAAATAGATATCCAACATGTCAAACCTTAAATTTGCGTGCACTTGTGAAATGGTGACGAACTTCAGTACCCTATATTTTCTATAGGTGACGCATTTAAAGCTCCTTATAGGGCACCAGTTTAGCGTTACTAAAGAGGTCTGGTGCTAGAATTATTGCTCTCATTCTGGCGTGCGTGGCAATATGTGACATGTGTATTACAATCGACGGTTTCATGCTTGTACGTGCATATATGTGGGGGTGGGAGCCTCAATATTTTCTTGGGGGGGATAGTATGTGCTTGGGTGTAACTTTAATTTTTTACAATAAAAAAAACTTTTTTTTTTTTTTTTTTACTTTTTTTTTATCACATAGAGGACAAAGTCCCATGTGATGATTTTTGGTGACAGGTTCTCTTTGAGACATCCAAGGTCTAAAAGATCCTGGATGTCTCCCCTCTGCTCCACTGGGGTCAGCACAAAAGGGGAGGGGAGCTGCACTGTGTGGAAACAATGGGGGGGCAGCACTGCTGCCTATTGCTTCACTGGACAGGTGATCCCTGCTGCTTGCCTACAGAAGGGCTAAAGGTAGAAAAAAACTACCTGCTCGGCACCCAGGAACTACATGTCCCAGGCATCGGGCGATAAGAATCCAACATCCCAGACTTCTTTTTTAAATTCCTTAGATGCCAGTTACATATTGCTTCTAGGTGGACATCCCCTTTAAATATACAACAATTAAAATTGACATTTGGCAAGAAAGACACTGTTGGCTGAACTCATAAATATAGGTTGTTTCTAAAAGCGGGAAGCCTGTAGAGTAGCACTCAGAATGTCTGATCTAATTAGTGTAATTGCCCTGAATTTCCTTTCATCATTAATATTAGGAGCTTTTTAGTGCTGTAATGGAAACACGTCTGCGGGGTGCCATTTTACTTCATAATCCCTGGCTGGATTACATTGAATCTCTGCTTTTTTAAAGCATTTAAAATGAGTATAACATTTTTAAATTGAATAAAGATATTTTTTTTTCTACATAAAAACAGCAAGAGATAATGATAGTGATTTAGTAAAGGATTGAAATTAGAGTGACCATTTTCAGTACAGGAGAGGAGCTTGTACAGCTGAATGTAAAGCTACTAGTGTCGTTGGTTCGAATCCCAACCATGGCACCACCTGCCTGGTGTTTGCATGTTTCTCTCCCTGTGCCTGCACCGGTTTCCTTCGGGTACTCCGGTTTCCTCCCACACTCCAAAGACAAGCTGGTAGGTTAATTGGATCTTGTCTAAATTGGCCCTAGTATGTATATGTATGAATGTGAGTTAGGGACTTTAGATTGTACACCCCTTGAGGGTTAGGGACTGATGTGAATGTACAATATATATGTAAAGTGCTGTGTAAATTTATGGCGCTATAGAAGTACACAAAGGCTTGTCTCACATCCCCAGGAGTTTTGGACATATATTTTCTGGACTGATGAGACAAAAGTTGAACTTTTTGGAAGGTGTGCGTCCCGTTACATCTGGCGTAAAACTAACGCAGCATACTAGCATCATACTAACAGTCAAACATGGAGGTGGTTGTGTGATGGTTGGGGCTGCTTTGCAGCTTTAGGACCTGGAAGACTTGCCATAAATGATGGAACCATAAATTTTGAGCTCTACCAGAAAATCCTGAAGGAGAATTTCTGACTATCAGTTCATGATCTCGAGCTCAAGAACACTTGGGTTATGCAGTAGGGCAGGGGTGGGCAACTGTGGCCCTCCAGCTGTTGTAGAACTACAAGTCCCATGAGGCATTGCAAAACTGACAGTTACAAGCATGACTCCCAAAGGCAGGGCATGATGGGACTTGTAGTTCACCAACAGCTCGAGGGCCACAGTTGCCCACCCCTGCAGTAGGGGGTTTAGGGGGCAGTTACTTTTTCACATAGGGCCAGGCAGGTTTGCACAGCTTTTTTCCCTTAAAAAATGAAATCCTCATTTAAAAACTGCATTTTGTATATACTTGGGTTATTTTTGTGTAATATTAATTTTTTTTGATGATCTGAATCATTTAAGTGTGACATATATGCAAAAAAAAATCAGGAAGGGGGCAAATATTTTTTCACAACACTGTAAAACCCAACAGAAACATTAAACCTTGCCTGCCATATACAAAACAAATAAAAGGTTTTGGCTGGAGTTTGGCTTTTCTTTTTATGATTGTAAATTATATTTTTCAGTTCTGTAAAGGGTCTAATGCATGGCATAGGAGGACAATTTACAATATTTTTTGTATTTTTTAATATTTTATATTTAATAGTCCGTTGAGGGTTCAGTCTTTAGCTTCTAGAGCGCTGCCATTTCTGACCTCCATTTAAAAATACTGGCTTAACCAGGAACAAGCATACATCAAGCAAGAGTTCCTAATCTGCATACTTTTCCTGGTCAGTGAAAGTATTGAAGCCACTCAATCCACATTCAGCCAGGCACCAGCATTTTCAATTGAACTGTCCACAGTGAGGGTCTAACTTGTTTTTCTGAGAACAAATTTTCTTTAATTGAGAGTTTCTATAAGATGTTTTGGATGGAGAGTAGGAAAGGAGGCATTTTTGGTGGATATAATATAACCATTCATGAGAATGAATCAAATGTTTTAATAGTAACAGATATAAAAATAATACATTCATTGTTACAGGTAAGAAAATTGACCCCTTTACTATCTGTTTAAGCAGTATCTTAAAGATTCACCTCCCTTTACATGGGGGAAGAAAGATGACTGTCTGAATGTTCTTTTTCAGTTCCGATACTCTGGAGTCACAGACAGGTTACTGATGCTGTTTGGAACTATAGCAGCCGTAGCACATGGAGCCGCCTTGCCACTCATGATGCTGGTGTTTGGGGAAATGACAGACAGCTTTGTGTCTTTTGGACAGAATATGACAGGTGAGTTTATTGCAATGTGCTCCATACCTTGCAGTGTTAATTCAAACCGAAGCAACAGGTTTTCTTTAACCACTTCCCGACCATGGCCGTTGTTTATAAACGGCCGGACGGTGACACTGCAGGGTCGGTTGACTGTTTATAAACGGCCTCCCCGCACCCTGCTTGTGCGCGCTCCCCAGGAGCGCACAGCACCGCGATCTGGTGCCCGCTGTGTTCTCCGGACACAGTGAAACACCGATCGTCGGACGGGACCTCTGTATGAAGTGGCCAATCAGTGATCACATGCAAAGTAGTAAGAAAGATGTCACTTTTGACATCATTGCTTACTACGTGTGAAATCTGTGAATGATCAGAGATCACATGGTACAAGGCTATTCACAACATCCTTGTACCATGTGACAAGCTGTGACCAATCACAGCTCACTCAGTACTTCTCAATGACTGCAAGAATGCAGACAGATAGAAAGAGAAATGATTGCTTTTACATTCTATATGGATGTAAAAGCAATCAGTGTATAAAAAAAAAAAATCTTCATCACCCCCAAAAGTAGTACAGTGTCACTGTACTGCTAGGGTGACAGTATGTAAAAAAAATAAAATAAAAATAAATAATAATATAAAACAAAAAATAAAAATGTAAAAAAAAATGTTTAAAAATTATAATTTTTGGTTATAAACTAATTTGGCTATTTTTTTTTTTTTACTTAAAAGAAAATGGAATACATTTTGGCCAAGATTTATGATGAAATATTATTTATTTTTATTACACTTTTTTTTCATAAAATTTTTTGGACATTTTCATTTACATAACAAAAAAAATTAAAATCCCAGCGGTGAATAAATACCACCAAAATAAAGTTTTATCTGTCTCAAAAAAATGGTAAAAAAATTCACATGGGTACAGTGTTGCATGACCGCGCAATTGTCATTCAAAGTGTGATAGCGCTAAAAGCTGAAAATTGCCCTGGTCAGGAAGGGGGTAAAAGTGTCTGGACTGGAAGTGGTTAATGCTCCCTCCCTAGCACCACACATGTACCTTTCTTTTGCTTCTCTGCCCCACTATTCAACTACTGAAAGAAAAAGAAAATAATTGTTACTTCTAGGTATGAAGGAACATGTGACTTATACCATGTGACATCACCTGTGGTTGGAGAACAGCCTAGTGCTGTTGCATAGAGACTGTCTGCAACCTTGTGGTGTCAGTGGAAGGAATAGCGCCAGATTGTTGGTGTCAGGGGCAAGAATTATTCCCCATTATTGGTGTCAGCAGCAGGAATAATGCCTCATGGGCTGGATAATGTCAAGCAAAGGGCCACATCATGCCCCAGGGCCGCAGTTTGGAGACCACTGGTATGGTGCTTTCACCAACCAATTTCGACTGTTCATACTAAAAAAAATGAAAGTGTAAGCTAGAAAATTGTTATCATACATGAACACAATTTCTGATTTTCGCTAATTGTATACAGTAATTGTACGGAAATAATGCGAATAGAAAAAAAATGTGCATGATCTGAAGCATGGGTCGACCCGGAAGAAGTTACTTTAAAAGCTTTGGCTGATGCCTGTAGGGCTTGGGTCAGTTGAGACATAGATTTCCCTACAGGCATGTCACATCCCCTGAAGGGCATACATGCAGAGGAGCCGACCTCGTAGGGGGAAGTCCGGTGTAGAAAGCCTTCAGTGAGGACACGTATCCTCATGTAAGCTCTTCTTTAGACCACAGCTTCCTCCAATGGGAACTGTTCTTTAGGGCATCCACATGCTATGGACATATTCCTAAGGACTGCTGTACCTTGAGGTATGGGCCGGCACCACTCACTAAATGCACCATTATCTTTATACACTACTAGAGACAGCTCAAGTAAAACCAGCACAACCAAATATGGTTTCCAATTGAATCTGATGAGATTGCATTTGTATGCAGAGGATTATGTGTTGATTGCATTGTGGATATATACAGTAGCTGTTAATTTGCAAGACTACAAGTACAAATATTTCTGTTACTAAGAGAAGTGTCTGAGTCATTTTTCTGGGGAAGAAGTAAATGGAGCACAGATTTAAATGTATCTGCTCTCTGCCATTTAAAAAGGTAGGTTTGCAATGGTGGCCTCCATGTTTTTCTTATGGTTTTCTTTAATGTGGTAGTAAAGTCCACCTGCAAGTTAATGGTATAATGTGCTAGTATGCGTAGTATGTGTAGTATGCTAGTATTCCTCCCACACTCCAAAGACATGCTGGTAGGTTAATTGGATCCTGTCTATATTGGCCCTATTATTATTATTATACAGGATTAATATAGCGCCAGCAGTTTGCTCAGCGCTTTACAATATAACGGGAGACAATACAGCAACAATACAGTTCAATACAAGAGGGTTAGGAGGGCCCTGCTCCTTGGAGCTTACAATCTAAGAGGGAGGGGCTAGTGGTACAAAAGGTAATAACTGTGGGGGATGGACTGGTAGGAGGAATAGAAGATTCCATTATTAGCTGAAGGCAGGATAGGCTTTCCTGAAGAGATAGGTTTTCAGGGATCGCCTAAAAGTGAGTAGAGTCGGTGATAGTCTGATAAATTAGGGTAGAGAGTTCCAGAGGATGGGGATGGCTCTGGAGAAGTCCTGGAGACGAGCATGGGTGGAGGGGACAAGAGAGCTAGAGAGTAGGAGGTCGTGCGAGAAGCAGAGAGTATGGTTTGGGTGATATTTGGAGACAGGATTGGTGATGTACTGGCTTACTTACCTTAAAATGAAGCCGTCCAGTGGCGCGTTGTCTTCCTTCCAGGTTCGTGGGCTCTGGCTGAATGAATGGCCAAGCCATGATGACATCACTCCTGCAGCATAGAGCTCTGAAGGTACAGCACGGGTATGCCGTCCTTCAAAGCTCATGCGCCAGTGATGCCACTGGCTGCATACCATGTGATTATCTCCTAAACAGTGCAATTTTAGGAGATGTTCACTATACCTACAGGCAAGACTTATTATAGGCTTACCTGTAGGTACACGTTAGGAAGTGGACTACACTACCACTTTTAGGCTATTGAGGAAAGCATTGAAAAATTGACCTAAAAGAAAAATCATCCAACTGTCCTAAAAGAACTGAAGTTGAACACCTATTTTTTGTCCTTTGATCAGATGCTGTCTATATGCCTGCTGGGGAGATTTATCCTGTTTTTATCTGGAGACTGTTGTGATGAGAAATCCAAAACTTAGCAAGAAGTGGGGGGAAATCCTTCAATTGGAAGACTTGGTTCTATGACAGTTCCTTAATGGGTAACTCCACTTTTGTGGAAATAAAATAGCAGATAAAAAAAACTAATATAGCATATAAAATAGCTTCACATGCCATGTTGCAATTTAATCTCTTCTCGCCGAGAGATTGCCAATATGCGGCCTTCGGCTGGTAGGCCTTGCACGCCAGAATGTAAACAAACCTGTGCCGAGAGTGCACGACCTGGGTGCTCCTGGCATAGTTACTGACGCCTAACAGAAAGCTACTTGCGACCAGAAGCGTTCTGATCACGTAACCGCTGTGACAGCCAAAGCATCAGAAACATGTTAAAGAGCTGGGAGGGGTTCATATTAATAGAAAGTACCTTTCCTTTTCAGTCTGCAGACACTGTCATTTTTTTGTAAAATTAGTTGCAATATGGCAACCTGGAGGAGTTCTGTAAACAGATGGTGTACAGAACTCCTCCAAATATGTCATTCCTGCTTATGTGATTGGCTCATTGGTTTTCCTAGAAGTCTGAACCAAGATACAAGTCAGATTTGAGGCACTTCTTGCAGTAAAGTTTTATATGGGCTTATGTATTAATAAACATACCTTATATGAACCTCAACATTGTGTGCATGCTTACATGACCTGTGATATTTAGGGCCAGCCTGCTTCTTTCCAACATATATCTCTCTTCTATGTCTTGACAGTGGATGAAATGATACAAGCTTCAATGACACTGGAAAAGAATATGACAACGTAAGTAGAAGTTTATTAGAACAATGTAAACTGTCACTGGACTTCCTTTATATAAGGTGGAAATATAGAATATTATTGCGGTGGTTTCCTGTAGCAGCTAATAAAAACACCACTTTCATTTTTCCGGAACACCACAAACAATTCAAGAATAACTCCAGGCATGGCTATATTGCACTTACTCTGGCCCAGCTTGGACCTATGGAAATATGTGTATACCATAGCTGGCCAGGACTCCTGGAAGCAGGAAATCACTGAAGCAGACACCGCTACCCCAGTGATCTCCACTTGTTTCCGGGTCCCGCGCTGAACGGCTGGCCTGCTGCATACTGAACACAGAAGGTCAACCGCTCGGCAGGGGAGCCAATCAGAGAACGTTTTGCTGGCCACTCAGCGCGGGACAAGTGGAGATCACTGGGGTAGCGGTGTCTGCTTCAGTGATATACTGCTTCCAGGTGCCTTGGCCAGCTATGGTATATATATATATATTTCCATAATTCCAAGCTGGATCAATGTAACTATGTACAATATAGCCATACCTGGAATTATTCCTTACTTCAAAGATGTCCAGCTTCAAGGGGCCTTGGCCAGGTATGGTGTGTGTGTGTATATATATATATATATATATATATATATATATATATATATATATATATATAGTTCCAAAAGTCCAAGCTGGATCAATGTAACTATGTACAATATAGCCATGCCTGGAATACATTGAAATGTATTTTCAAATATATTTTTCATATATTTTGTAATAAAAACGCATTTCAACATGCAGTACCCTATTTTTCGCTCCATAAGGCGCATCTGACCATAAGCCGCGCCGAGGTTTTAGAGGAGAAAAACAAGGAAAAAAATATTCTGAATCAATGGACTGCAGACATAGTACAGGAAATGACCAGAGACTGCAGACACCGTAAAGGAGATGACCAGAGACTGCGGACACAGTACAGGAGATGACCAGAGACTGCGGACACAGTACAGGAGATGACCAGAGACTGCGGACACAGTACAGGAGATGACCAGAGACTGCGGACACAGTACAGGAGATGACCAGAGACTGCGGACACAGTACAGGAGATGACCAGAGACTGCGGACACAGTACAGGAGATGACCAGAGACTGCGGACACAGTACAGGAGATGACCAGAGACTGCGGACATATTACAGGAGATGACCAGAGACTGCAGACATATTACAGTAGATGACCAGAGACTACAGATACAGTACAGGAGATGACCAGAGACTGCGGACATAATACAGGAGATGACCAGAGACTGCGGTCACAGTACAGGAGATGACCAGAGACTGCGGACGTAGTACAGGAGATGACCAGAGACTGCGGACACAGTACAGGGGATGACCAGAGACTGTGGACTCAGTACAGATGACCAGAGACTGCAGACACAGTACAGGAGATGACCAGAGTCTGCAGACAGTACAGGGGATGACCAGAGACTGCAGACAGTACAGGGGATGACCAAGAGACTGCAGACAGTACAGGGGATGACCAAGAGACTGCAGACAGTACAGGGGATGACCAAGAGACTGCAGACAGTACAGGGGATGACCAGAGACTGCAGACAGTACAGGGGATGACCAGAGACCGCAGACAGTACAGGGGATGACCAGAGACCGCAGACAGTACAGGGGATGACCAGAGACCGCAGACAGTACAGGGGATGACCAGAGACTGCAGACAGTACAGGCGATGACCAAGAGACTGCGGACCTTTGGGGAGGGAGGGGGAGCAGGTACCTGAATTTGACAGGTACCAGCTCCCACTTCCGCGGAGTTGTCCTCCCTTTAGTGTGGACACCCAGCTGTGACAGCCAGGTGCCCACTGCGCATGCACGAGAAGCACTGCGCTTTGTGAATGGCCCGGCGTCTTCTGGGACCTGTCATGTGTCCCAGAAGATGCCGGACCATTCACAAAGCCCAGCACTTCTCGTGCATGCGCAGTGGGCACCCGGCTGTCACAGATGCTGGCGCGGGAAGATGATGATGCGGGAAGACTGTACAGCGCTGGACCGAGGAACAGGTAAGGTCCTGCTGCAGAGAAGAGCTGAGCGGCCGGCCCGGTATTCTGACATGGCGGCGGAAATACCGGACCATATTCGCTCCATAAGACGCACTGACATTTTCCTCCCTTTTTTTGGGGGAAAAAAGTGCGTCTTATGGAGCGAAAAATACGATGTATATATATATTGAAAAATTTGAATATGGCCAAAATTGTAAAAAATTGCATTTCAATTATATGGCAATATATTTGGGAAGAATATTTTTAAAATATATTTCAAATATATTTTTCTTTCATATGGGCACTGAGTTCACTACTAGAGATTCCAGCTAACAAGGACAGCTAGGGACCAGCCCAAGAATAGTAACGTTAGGAATGGCAAGGATGCTGGTGACGTCATTGACCTAAATATGACCGCATGGCCAAGTTTGATTAATGACATTGTCCAGATATGGTCATGCGGCCACATTAGGTCTTTGATATCACTGGCAACCATGCTCTTTGAAAGGTGCCCCCATGGGGTGGTGGATTCCCTGACTATAGCTGATTGGACCAATGACCTGCTATCATGTGATAGTTCCTTGCAGTTTCTGCCTGAATCACTATTCAGGAGTCCAGGTAAAAAGTAGCAAGAAAAAAATATTTAGCACAAAACCAACACCTCCCCAACACAAAAAACTGTGTGGCAACAATTGTATCTTAATTTCTTTTTGGGATTATTAAAGTATTATAAATCTGAATTGGTAAGAAGGTGTATAAAGGTTATACTCTTGAAGGGGTTAATAATCCTGCAACAACCAGCAACAGGTAGAACATGTGAGGGTGTTCCAGGTACAACATGTGAGGGTGTTCCAGGAACTGCTTCCTAGACGGTAGGAACGGATTTCCTGCCATTCTGTTCTGTTGATACTAGACTCCGTCACAAGAAAACTGAAGACTTTTCCTGGTAATACACAGAAGGAATTCTTCAGAAAAATAAATATTTGCAAAACATATATACTATATATAGCTTTTTTTTTTTTGTAAATGATTACATTTTTAGTAATTGCTGCTTCTAGATTTGCATTCTTATTCCTTAGCTCCATCCATACCCATTTATTTCTCATTCTTATAGTATGTAGAGCAGATTTGAAAAAAGCATCTTAGGTAACCTTTCCAAAGAAAGACCTAATTAAACATTGTTAAAAACAGTCATAGGAGAAAGGAAAAAAAAAGAGAGAATCCTTTCAAACTGCTCCATTGCAAAAAACACGGTAAAAATGCATATGCGTTTTTGTCACTTTTTATCATTTTTTTTTCTATGTTTTTGCCATATTTCTAGTGCGTTTTACACCTTTGAAGTAAGGAAATGTGACTCTAAAAACTGTGGGTGTGTTTTGGATGCATTTTTGCCATGTTCTTGATGCATTTTCAGTTCATTTCAATGGGGAGGTGAATTTTTTGGTGCATTTTTTTTTACCGCACCAAAAATGCGGGACTTTTAAAAACGCAAGGCCAGGTTTTACATTAATAAATAAAAGTGGATCATTATAGGCAAGAAAGAAAGAAAGAAAGAAAAGAGAAAGAAAGAAAGAAAGAAACAAAGGTTATTTAAAACAGTCGAAACTTAGAAAGAAAGAAAAGAGAGCAGTGAATAGAAAATGCTAAACAATTTATCTACAATATATATATCTATATAAGCACATCGTATTTATAAACTGCTTTGACATTTTTTGTATCATGTCATTACTGTGTATGCACATCATTGAGTATTTTTTTAAAACACTTTCACATTTGGGTTGATTCCATGTTTTTAAGTGCATATTCTGCATTTGTGGTTAACTTACAATACGTTTTGTAACAGATTGTATTAGGCTCCATTAACACTTCTCAATTTGGAATTCTGCCAATGATGCAATTACTGCACAACATGCGTTTGGGTGCCATTATCCTTTAATGGCACCCCAAATGCTATCTGATTCTGCCACAATTTTCGTGAAACAGGATTGTGTGGCAATTGTGGCAATTTAAAAATTACGTGAAGCTTTTCACCCTAAAATGAGCAGGAGCTTCTTTTTGGGTGACAAAGGTGCATAGAACCACCCAATCAAGTGAATGGGCTGGCCCTATGCAACACGCAGAATCGTGAATCAGGCTTTGAAAATCGCATTCCCGCTACGACTTAAACTATATTGGCAAAAGTATTGGGACATCCCTCTATATCATTGGATTCAGGTGTTCCAGCCACCTTCATGGCCACAGGTGTATACAATCAAGCACCTAGGCATGCAGACTGCTTCTACAAACATTGGTGAAAGAATGGGTCGCTCTCAGGAGCTCAGTGAATTCAAGCGTGGTACCGTGATAGGTTGCCACCTGTACAATAAGTCCATCCGTGACATTTCCTGGCTACTAAATATTCCACGGTCAATTGTTAATGGTATTATAACAAAGTGGAAGCAACTAGGAATAACAGAAACTTAGACACAAAGTGGTAGGCCACATAAAATGACAGAGCGGGGTCAGCGCATGCTGAAGCGCACAGTGCGCAGAACTCACCAACTGTCTGCAGAGTCAATAGCTAAAGACCTCCAAACTTCGTATGGCCTTCAGATTAGCACAACAACAGTGCGTAGAGAGCTTCATAGAATGGGTTTCCATGGCCGAGCAGCTGTATCCAAGCCTGACATTACCAAGTGCAATGCAAAGTGTCGGATGCTGTGGTGTAAAGCACGCCACCACTGGACTCTAGAGCTGTGGAGACTTGTTCTCTGGAGTGACCAATCATGCTTCTCTGTCTGGCAATCCGATGGATATGTCTGGGTTTGGCGGTTGCCAGGAGAACGGTACTTACCTGACTGCATTGTGCCAAGTGTAAAGTTTGGTGAACGGGAATTATGGTGTGGGGTTGTTTTTTCAGGCGTTGAGCTTGGCCCCTTAGTTCCAGTGAAGGGAATTCTTAAAGTGTCAATATACCAAGACATTTCGGACAATTTCATGCTCCCAACTTTGTGGGAACGGTTTGGAGATGGCCCCTTCCTGTTCCAACATGACTGCGCACCAGTGCACAAAGCAAGGTCCATAAAGACATGGATGAGTGAGTTTGGGGTGGAGGAACTTGACTGGCGTGCACAGAGTCCTGACCTAAACCTAATAGAACACCTTTGGGATGAATTAGAGCGGAGACTGTGAGCCAGGCCTTCTCATCCGATATCAGTGCCTGACCTCAAAAATGCACTTCTGGAAGAATGGTCAAACCTTCCCATAGACACACTCCTACACCTTGTGGACGGCCTTCCCAGAAGAGTTGAAGCTGTTTTAGTTGCAAAGGGTGGGCCAATTTAATATTGAACCCTATGGACTAAGACTGGGACGCCAGTAAAGTTCATGTGCGTAGAAAGGCAGGCGTCCTTATACTGTTGGCAATATAGTGTATGTGATCGGGGCCTCAGCGTTGCACCTAATATATATTTCTGTGTATTTCATTATTGGTGGCGGCTGCTTAATATTTGTGGGTGTTTAATGGTAGCACAGAATATCCACAGATCTCTTTTAAACAGTACACTTTATCTTTCATGATACAAAGGTCATGTAATATTTGAGCTCCAAGTTAGTTATTAACAATAATGTATTTCCATGAGCCTTATGTATCTGATCATATACATTGCGTGGATAGATGAGCAGAGAAAGCTCAATGATGTGGACATGGATGACCAAGGTTGCCTGCATTCCATGTGGAAAGATAGCCTAAAGCTGACCATACACTAGTAGAGTTTAGTTAGAGAATTTTCCTTTTAGGAACATTCCCTTGATTTTCTAAATGTTAGTGGGGTCAAGCTACCATTTGTTTTTGACCACAGTGATAAGAAATTAGAAAGAGCGGGATGGAAAATGGTTCTCAAACTAATGGACTTCAATCAGTGAATGTGGTTTTCATTTGGTAAAGCCCATTTACTCCAAAATCAAATCTTAATAACAAACTTTTTGTCACATCATCGAATGTACTGTGAGAATTTTTGTAGGAATGTTCATTCAAACATTTGTTCAAAAAACTACTAGTGTATGGCCAGCTTAACACTACCCTCCCCCCAGACTGACAATGCTGCTGTCCAAAAGTGTCTCCGTACCTCCTCCATCCAGAGTAGAGACACCCTATAGACGCCCACATATATCGGTAGAATTTAATTTGAATTTTTTTGTTCTATGAGCGTCCACTCAATTTTCAGTGATGAGAAAATTTAAATGAGCAGGATAGAAAATTTTTCTTGAGCAAACGGCTTTCTAACAGTAAATGTGGTTTTCTTTCAGGAAAGTCCATGCACACCAAAATCGAATGTTAAGAACAATTTCGAACAACATCCGTCATGTCATCGAGCATACTCATACTTTTAATACGTATGTTCGTACGAACATTGTTCAAAAATCTACTAGTGTATGGCCAGCTTTAGTTTTATTGGATTACATCTTTGGTCATTAGCTGATATATTTTTGTGTCTTTTTGAATAGATTTCCCTTCTCTTCCAGTCCTGCAGATACAATAGGGAATGGGGGAAATGCTCTCTTAAGCAGCCCATAGATTATTTATTTCAGGTACTTATATAGCGCCGTCAATTTACACAGCACTTTACATATATATTGTACATTCACATCAGTCCCTAACCCTCAAGGGACATACAATCTAAGGTCCCTAACTCACATTCATACACATACTAAGGCCAATTTAGACAGGATCCAGTTAATTACCAGCATGTCCTTGGAGTGTGGGAGGAAACGGGATTACCTGGAGGAAACCCACACAGGCACAGGAAGAACATGCAAACTCCAGGCAGGTGGTGCCATAGTTGGGATTCGAACCAACAACCCTAGTGCTGCCAGGTGGAAGGGCTAACCATTTAGCCATGATTAGACTTTCAGGTGGAAGGAAAGAAAATTGATTGATTCCACCATTACCACAGTCAATGCTGATGAGGGAATGCCTTCCAAAGTGCTATTGTGTTCTGCCAGCAGGAGGGCACAGGGAGCCTTCCGGGCCATCAGAACACAATGATTACTGCTAGCGGACATAGCTGCCTACAGTAATCTTATGTAAAAAGTCTGACAGGCTGGTTGTACCCAAGTCGATCAATGAATCGACTTATGTACAATCAGCCTGCCCATAGATGGATTGAATCTTAGCTGGTTCAGCAGGGACCGATTTCAATCCATGTATGGGCGGCTTTAATTATTCAGTGGTTACCAAACAAAATGAGAAGATGAAACTCCTCATGAGGGAGCCAGACATCGATATATAAATAACTAAAGCCTAGTACACACGATCAGAAAATTGGATGAAAATACTGCTTTTGGAGCGACTGTCCGGAAATTTGATTGTTAGTACATAGCTTTCGAGAGCCAATCATGACAGTTCATGCGAAATTATCTGAAGGGACAAGCACGAATATATTTCTTGTATGATAACAGAAGAAATGATTTTCAATGCTCTGGAGAAGAATCTTGAACCGCTCAGTCCCGAACAACCTGAAAGAATCATCAAGGAGAATTAATTAAATAAAGCAAAGCAGCTGATTGGCTGCTATAAGTATTGTTCTTCTTTCAGACACAGGGACTGATTGTGCCTATTTTTCTTCTTCAGGTATGCCTACTACTACAGTGGATTGGGTTTTGGTGTTCTCTTTGCTGCCTACATCCAAATCGCTTTCTGGTCTCTGGCTGCTGGACAGCAGATAAAAAAGATCAGGAAGAACTTTTTCCACGCAGTGCTGCGACAAGAGATTGGTTGGTTTGATGTGAACGATGCGGGAGAGCTGAACACGAGGTTTGAGCGAGTGAGTATAAACCCTTCACATGCAGTTCTGCAGCTGTCTTACAATTGGGCTATGTACCCCGGTGTATGGAGGGAGGACAGGAGACCGGCTGGCTGGCACAGAGCTGGATTGAGAGAAGTAAACATTTAAGGGGGCACGGCAAGAGGCAAAATGCTTTTTTTATCTTAATGTTTTGAAGTTACATATTTACATAGTTAGTCTGGCTGAAAAAAGACAAAAGTCCATCCAGTTCAACCATTAAAAAAAAAAAACTTATAATCCTACACACACAGTTGATCCAGAGGAAGGCAAAATAAACCCAGCAAATCATGATCCAAAGTGATTGTAAATGCTGATTTTTTTTTAATTAAAATAACAAACATGTTATACTTACCTGCTCTGTGCAATGATATTTCACAGAGCAGCCCCAATCCTCCTCTTCTCGGGTTCCACGCCAGCACTTCTGGCACCTCCCCACCTCTTCCCGCTGAGTGCTCCATAGCAATACTTGCTATGGGGGCACCATGCGCTTGCTTGCTCTTGAGCCCCGCTCTGTGTTTCCATTGACACACAGAGCGTGGCTCAGCCCCACCCCTCGCTCCCTTCTCACTGGCTGTGATTGACAACAGCAGCAGCCAATGGCTCCCGTTGCTGCCTCTGAGCCATTGAGAAGGCAGAGAGCCGCTGCTCTCATACAGATCGCTGAATCGAGATCGGGCTCAGGTAAGTATAAAGGTGGGCTGAGAGGGGAGAATGTAGAAGGTTTTTTACTTTAATGTAGAGGATTCATTAGGGTAAAAAAACCTTCTGCCTTAGGAAACACTTTAAGATAAAAATACATTTTACTTTTAGAACCACTTTAGTAACATTAAGCTGATCTCTAAAAATGACCATAGTTTCTCCGTTCTTCACTAGCACACCGCAGGTCCATACCCCCTAATCACTTTCTCCTGTTTTCCCCCCATGTGTTTATTTTAGTGACGTCCAAAAAATTAACGACGGAATTGGTGACAAAATTGCTATGCTTATCCAGGCCTTAACTACTTTCGTGACGGGTTTTGTTATTGGGTTTGTGAAAGGTTGGAAGCTGACCCTGGTTATTCTGGCCATTAGTCCTGTCATGGGCGTCTCAGCGGCTGTATGGGCAAAGGTGAGAATCCTTCTGTACTTTTTACAGTTTTGGGTGGTGGGCATGGTACCAAGGCTGCAGATACACAATGGGTCCCAGTTATGTAATTTGTTTTTTCTACAGCTTCATTTAGTTAAACAAAAGATACAATACATATATACATAAATACATTTGTAAATAACAAGACATGAGATGGAATTGCCCATTAAAGTAGAACTTAACCTAATTTGTAAAATAAAAGACTGTGAACAGGCCATGAGATCCAGATGTTATTCTGACGTAAACTTCAGGATATTCCACGTTCACCAATGTGATCTCTTCCAGTGTGAACCACCACCATTCACTCTGTGCGCTTACCTTAATTTTGGACCTTGTATAGGTCACAATGCGTTTTCCCCTATAAGCGTTCAATTCAGATCACTTCAAAAATCCAAGTCCTTGTTCCTAATAGATATCTCCAGGGCACTCTGTAGGAGGTGGCATCAAAAGTTTCAAGACATTGTGTCTGTGGGGAGCTTGCTGGACCTACCTGGTATATACGAGGTGGTATCAAAATGTTTCAAGACTAGTTTTGTAACATGCCAACAGATGGCAGCACAAGGCTGCACGCACAGACACAGGGAGCACCGACCTTTATATGTTAGTGCTCCAATAGTCATTGTCCTGTGTACATCGGGAGCTGTGCAACTGGTGCTATTTTGACCACGTGCGTTACCACTTCTGCTATTTCATCATGGGCAGCAAGTTAGAACAAAGAGCAAACGTGAAATTCTGTAGGAAACCCATACACCTAAGTTTCATCACCGGCAATGATCGACATGAAGGATGGGTCATCCAAGGCACACTGAAGGAGTTCTTGGCAGACTTCAACGCGGTGTTCCTTCTGGTTTTCATACAGAATTTCATGTTTGCTCTTTGTTCTAACTTGCTGTCCACAGTGAAATAGCAGACGTGGTTATGCATGTGGTCAGAATAGCACCAGTTTCACAGCTCCCGATGTACACAGAATGATGTCTTTTGGCACACTGACTTATGAAGGTTGGTGCTCCCTGTGACTGTGTGTGCAGCCTTGTGCTGCCATCTGTTGGCGTGTTACAAAACTACCCTCTAAACCTTTTGATACCACCTCGTATATACCAGGTAGGTCCAGTAGGCTCCCCACCGACACAGTTGCTTCTCCGGTTACAGACAACTGATGAGAGTTAAGCACAGTGCAGGGAGTGCAGTCCAGTGGGTGTTGAGGTGACCTGCTGGCGATGAATGGACAAAATGGAGCTCTGCACCCCTGAGAGAGCCGGAGAAGAAAAGTGAGGGATATAACTGTTGCATTGCTGGAAGGTGGAAGTGAGGATTTTCAGGAATTTACTTCCACTTTAAGGAGGAGTTGACAATTTTGCCCTTTTCGGCCAAGGGACTGGTCCACTTGAAAGAATGACACCCCATCACCTTTGATATGCTTCTCCCAGATTGCACTTCTAAGGGCCGAGTGACCCCTAGGCCCAGACTGTGTCAGGTGAGGCAGGGGAAGTCATCAATTCTGTGGAGGCTTCAACATTTGGGTTCTTGAGGAACATAGCAGCACGGGAGCACAAAAAGGTGAGTATCAGCTGGGTCGTTCCTTAAAGAGAATCTCATACATAACGCCAAATGAGCAAAGTGAAAGGGTCTCTTTAAAAGAAACCTTTTCATTGAAGAACTGTCATTGTTGAGCACGCCTTAGAACATGTTACTTACTTGGCTATCCTAGTGATGCAGTGGCTTCAATATTTTAAATCACTGTCTAGGAACAAGCGTTCTTATGAGATGCCTTTTGCACTGACTTGACCTGCATACTCCTGAGACCGTGACTCAGATAGTCCCTGTTTTCTGCTCCTTTACAGATTTTGTCTGCATTCACTAACAAGGAGCTGACGGCGTATGCCAAAGCTGGATCGGTGGCGGAGGAGGTACTGGCTGCCATCCGGACTGTCATAGCCTTTGGTGGACAGGCCAAAGAAACTGAAAGGTTAGTCCCTTTTGTCTGGCTATGTACTTGATCATACAGACGCCGAATGCATACAATCATGTGAAAAAGTAGGTACATACCATAGAAATTGTGGAATTGTTCACATCATTCATATTTGAATGGGCATGGAGGGCAGATGAGACATCGGGAGTCCAATAGACAACTGATTTTTCATTAAAGAGAACCTGTGACAACATAGTGTCACATAATACAAAGTATAAGTTTAGTAAAATGAAAAAGTGTTCAAAAACTAAAATTATAACCCCCTCCAAATTGTTGAGCCCCACCCCTACATACAACACGGAAAACGTAAACAGACTTGTGAGGGGTGCCTACGTACATAAACTTTGATTGCGCACCACACATGTCACATATCGCTGCTCATGCCAGAGTGAGAGGAATAACTCTAGCCTAAATATTCATGGTTACCTCTAAACTGTTGAACTGTAGGGGCTTTTAAAGCGTCACCTATAGAAAATGTAGGGTCCCAAAGTTTTCTCTGTTTCACTGGCTCATTCAATTTTAAAGCTTGACTTGTTTGGTATCTACTTGATGCAAACTCATATTTTGTATTGTACCAAAAATGCTGTAATACGTATATTGCACATGTGACCTAAAAATTAATTTAGTGTATTTTTTACTGAAATTTTGTGCTTGATAAACTGTTGAGCTTATATTGTGTGACATAAACAATTGTTACCACCATCATCTCATTCTTCAGGGTCCCTGCTTTTAGGAAATAAATAATGTTTTTGGGGATAGTGGCTGGACAGAGACATACCATCATCTGTCCCTATCCGCTGCAGCCACTGGATTGTGTATAACGCCACCACCCCCCTTCCCCTTTGTCAGGTCCGTACGGTGTAAGGACCTGGTAGCAAAAGGGTTAATGCAGAGAATACCTTTTAGAACTACTTTAAGTCCTCATGCACACGGGATGTTTTGACAGCAGCTGTTTTTGGCTTTTGACATTTTTTTCTACAGCCAGTAAACCCCCCAGCATTTTATCCTATGGGTCCATGCACACATAGACTGGAATCAACGTTTTTTGGCTCGAAAAAAAAACCCAGGACTAGTGGGCTTCTAGAGGAGTTTTTTAGCTGTAAAAATGCTCTAATGCTGAAAAACATGCCAAAATACGGTAAATCACGGCAAACCATTTTTGGACTGTTTTTGACAAAAAAAAATGCAAATGTGTCAAAACGCCACTAAACACTAATACAAAAATGCTGAAAAACTCACATTCTTAACGTGACTTTACACAGCTAACCTTACCAGCGTGATTAAAACGCCCCGTGTGCATGGAGCCTAATGCAAGTGGCAATTCATGAAGTCGCTATGTATTGGCCAATGTGCATTTGCAACCAACATCACAGTTATAAATTAAACACTTAGGAGTTGATTTACTAAAGGCAAATAGACTGTGAACTCTGCAAGGGCATTTCCTTTGCAAAGTGCACGGTCTATTTGCCTTTAGTAAATCCATCCCTTAGTCTTTCCCTAATAGCAAATCTTGGTTTACAATTAGAGATTTTTTTCCAGCCATGCGGGGCACAGCATGTCAGAAGTACTGTACATTATTACTAGCATGTTCAGGCTAAAGGTACATGTGAACCAGTGTGAAAGCCTGGCTTAATTGGAATTGAATGTGTCTTCCAGGTATAAAAGGAATTTAGAAGAAGCCAAAAAGATAGGAATCAGGAAAGCCATTACGGCCAATGTGTCCATAGGATTCGCTTTCCTAATGATATACGCGGCTTACGCTTTGGCATTCTGGTATGGAACCACGCTGGTCATACAAGAACAGTATTCCATTGGGAGCGTGTTAACAGTAAGTAATGACTTTGTTGTGCAGTGCCAAGAGAACCAGTCAGTGTCTGTCCTGTCAACTGTTTGCCCCCCCCACTCTGCACACTAAGTGGATGGGAGACAATGTGAAGGGTCAGGCAGTTGACAAGACAATGCAAAAACATCCCTATTGACTTCAATGCATAATCGTCTCTATTTAGGAATTTAATTTTAGATATATTTATTTTTATTTTCTGTCCACTTTTTGTGTGTTACTTAGGCATTTGTAAGGAGGTGGATGCATCTTTTTTGTGCATGGCTGTTCTTGGTGCACCATCATTGTCTTGGTTGAATCAATTTATATCCTCCTCCTCTGTAATCTATCCCTGAGGAAAGACATTACAATTTTCTGAAACGTGTTGGATATCCCATTGCAGAAATCTTGTCTCTTCACATCTTCTATTGGGAAAAAGAGGATGCCATATGACACAGAGTCTTTATTCTCTGAAAGAGTATAGTTACATAGTTCGTCTGGCTGAAAAAAGACGTATTATACATGGAGATCATATCCCCCCCTTATGTATTATACATGGTGATCATATCCCCCTTATGTATTTATACATGGAGATCATATCCCCCCCTTATGTATTATACATGGAGATCATATCCCCCCTTATGTATTATACATGGTGATCATATCCCCCCTTATGTATTATACATGGAGATCATATCCCCCCTTATGTATTATACATGGAGATCATATCCCCCCTTATGTATTATTACATGGTGATCATATCCCCCCTTATGTATTATACATGGAGATCATATCCCCCCTTATGTATTATACATGGAGATCATATCCCCCCTTATGTATTTACATGGAGATCATATCCCCCCCTTATGTATTATACATGGTGATCATATCCCCCCTTATGTATTATACATGGAGATCATATCCCCCCTTATGTATTATACATGGAGATCATATCCCCCTTATGTATTATACATGGTTGATCATATCCCCCTTATGTATGATACATGGTGATCATATCCCCCCTTATGTATTATACATGGAGATCATATCCCCCCTTATGTATTATACATGGAGATCATATCCCCCCTTATGTATTATACATGGAGATCATATCCCCCCTTATGTATTATACATGGAGATCATATCCCCCTTATGTATTATACATGTTGATCATATCCCCCCTTATGTATTATACATGGAGATCATATCCCCCTTATGTATTATACATGTTGATCATATCCCCCCTTATTGTATTATACATGGAGATCATATCCCCCCTTATGTATTATACATGGAGATCATATCCCCCCCTTATGTATTATACATGGTGATCATTATCCCCCCTTATGTATTATACATGGAGATCATATCCCCCCTTATGTATTATACATGGAGATCATATCCCCCTTATGTATTATACATGGTGATCATATCCCCCCTTATGTATTATTACATGGAGATCATATCCCCCTTATGTATTATACATGGAGATCATATCCCCCCATATGTATTATACATGGAGATCATATCCCCCCTTATGTATTTATACATGGTGATCATATCCCCCCTTATGTATTATTTACATGGTGATCATATCCCCCCTTATGTATTATACATGGAGATCATATCCCCCTTATGTATTATACATGGAGATCATATCCCCCCCTTATGTATTATACATGTTGAATCATATCCCCCCTTATGTAATTATACATGGAGATCATATCCCCCCTTATGTATTATACATGGAGATCATATCCCCCCCTTATGTATTATACATGGAGATCATATCCCCCCCTTATGTATTATACATGGAGATCATTATCCCCCTTATGTATTATACATGGAGATCATATCCCCCCCTTATGTATTATACATGGAGATCATATCCCCCTTACATGTATTATACATGGAGATCATATCCCCCCTTTATGTATTATACATGGAGATAATATCCCCCCCTTATGTTTATACATGGAGATCATATCCCCCCTTATGTATTATACATGGAGATCATATCCCCCCTTATGTATTATACATGGAGATCATATCCCCCCTTGATGTATTATACATAGTGATCATATCCCCCCTTATGTATTTATACATGGAGATCATATCCCCCCTTATGTATTATACATGGAGATCTTATCACCCCCTTATGTATTATACATGGAGATCATATCCCCCCTTATGTATTATACATAGTGATCATATCCCCCCTTATGTATTATATATGGGAATTATATAAATTCAGTTCCTCTAATCTTTCCTCATAGCTGATCTCCTCCATTCCTTGAATCACTTTGTTTGCCCTTCTCTGTACTTCCTCCAGTTCCCCAATGTTCTTTTTTGTGAATTGGTGCCCAAAACTGAACTGCATATTCAGATGAGGGTCTTATTAATGATTTGTACCGGGGGAAAATTATATCTCTCTCTCTGGAGATCTATACCCTCTTTTAATAACAAGGGAGGAGTTTGCTCGCTTTAGAAACCGCAGCTCTTATTAATGATTTGTACCGGGGGAAATGATTATCTCTCTCTCTGGAGTCTATACCTCTTTTTATACAAGGGAGGAGTTTGCTCGCTTTAGAAACCGCAGCTTGGCATTGCATGCCATTATTAAGATTGTGATCTACCAGAACCCCCAGATCCTTCTCCCACCATTGATTCCCCCAGTTGTACCCCCCCAGTATGTATGATGCATGCATATTCTTAGCCCACCAAGTGCAGAACCTTACATTTATCAACATTTAAACCTCAGTATACAGCTGCTATGATCTGTTTTAAAACCTATCCTTCCTGTGATGTGTATGATTTACTTATTTTGTAATAAAGTATTTTTTGCATTTTATCTCAGCCAATTGATTACAATCCCACTTTCCTTTTTGGGGGGTTCTCTCTGGTTCCTATAAAATTGGGATGTTGGCAATATTCTGTTGATTTGAGTGGGGTGGATCTCTAACTAAAGATTATCTGATCGGGTCATTCAGGTGTTTTTGTAGTTATGGAATAGAACACCTTCTATAGGAGACGTTCATTGTTAGGGTTTACATGCACATTCAGCAATTTTATTTTTAAAAAATTTTTTGCTTAGGTATTCTTTGAAAAAATTTAAAAATTATATAAATTAAAATAAAAATTTAATATTTTAAAATAAAAAAAAAAATATAAAATAGTCATAAAAAAAAAATTAAAATTTTGGATTTTTTTTTTTCTTTTTTATTTTTTAGCGTCGGCCAAACGTCACTCCTAATATTGAAGCCTTTTCCAACGCTTAGAGGAGCGGCATATGCAGTTTTCAATATTATCGATAATGTAAGTCAGTCAAGAGGGTATGGCAGAAATGACATTAATCCATACAACTCTCTCGTATCCTATAAGTGTATAAAATATCAACAAACAAAACATAAAAAAAAAAATATGTCTCAAAAAAGGAGCAGAACATAAGGCCCTTTGAAAAATGTCTAAAATGTCATTGTTCTTTCGCAAACACACTGTAATGATCAAAGGAAATAGGCAGAGTTCACTAAGCTATAACATCTGGTATTTGCCATAACAATTTATTTTCAGACGTGACTGACAACGAAAATAACAGTCACGTAGCTAAAAAATAAACACTTTTACGGCAAGTTAAAAATGCGTAATAGCTTCGCAATTTAGGCCTAATTCTTCCATCCATGGCTGTATTTTACAATTCATTGCTGAACTCTAGGCAGATATACGAGACACAAATGAATGGCAATCATTAATACATAATCAAATGCATTCTGAAAATGCAAGCAGTTTAAGCACCTGAATTGGACCCGGTATCAGTCTCTTGCAGTCCCTTTACAGCAGAACTCAGGATATGAAAGGAAGAAGCAGTACAAGAAGCCAGAGTCAGATCATATACTGACAAGAAGCATGCTGATAAGAAGAGAAAGCAGACTGACGGGGAGATGAATTCATTACTATTCTGCTTCTACTTTCACTGTCCAATCACAGGCTGGAGTGGGTCAGAGACAACCTGGGCTCAGGGGAAGTGGGATGAATGATGCTGGCCAGCACATCTAGAGGCATAAACAAGTACTGCGGGGAAATTTCTGAACTGAAGCTGAATATTGCAGCAAAAGGTGGTTTTTAGTTGGTTAATCATTTTATCTTGTTGCTTTTGGCTGCAGTTCTGCTTTAAATCTGAAGTTTTGTTTTTATTGCTATAAAGACATTTTCTATAAAAAAAAAGGTTTGCCTTGCCAATGCTTTTTGATATGAAGATTGATTTAAATGGTTTCTTGCAGGTACCCAAAATAGACAGCTTCTCCCCAGCAGGATTTAAACCAGACAAGATTAAGGGAGACGTTCAGTTTACAAATGTGAAGTTTACCTATCCATCCCGGCCGGATATCAAGGTGGGTGACAGGCTCTGCTATGGTCCTTCTTCCCAGAAGTACTGTATTCCTTTGTAGGGTATATAAAGAACAGTCACTGATGAAATGACAGGCTCTGTATTAGTTCATTCCACAGAAAGGGCTAACTTGCTGGGCAAGAGAAGTTTCTTTCTTGTCCATTGAAGACAGGAATTCAGAGTCTGCCACATCAAACTGCCGCCAACAGGAGGAATGCCAAACAAAAAAAATGGGGGGGGGGGGGATCTCAGTATGACCCTTCCTTCTACCAGCATGCCTCGGTCTTTGGTAGAGTCCTAGGATCTCCTGTCTCTGCTCTGCTGCGAGAAGACTATCCTTTAAGTAGGCCATTTTTTTTTCAAGATTGTCCTTTATTTGAAGTGGTTGTAAACCCTTACCTATACCCAGGGAAGTGATTGGCCTCAGGTGATACATAGAGATTAAACAACTCCTCCTATAGCGTTGTACCTGTTTATCTGTAGCCATTTTCTTCAGTAAAGCCATTAAAAGTGCAGAATTTATACATCTTGTCTGAGCTTTCAGAAAGCAGAGGGTAGGGAGTTGAAGTTACCATCTGCAGAGCTCAGTGAGAAGAGCTCTTAGAGCTGATTGGAGGAAAGGCACAAACCCCCCTTCACACAGCACGCAGGAACAGAGCCATTAAAAGTGCAGAATGTATACATCTTGTCTGAGCTTTCAGAAAGCAGAGGGTAGGGATATGAAGTTACCATCTGCAGAGCTCAGTGAGAAGAGCTCTGAGAGCTGATTGGAGGAAAAGGACACACCCTTTTCGCACAGCACACAGGAACATAACTGAGGCTGTTAATCACTTTCTGTGTGCTGGAGATCCTTCCCCTGTCACCTTTCTACCTCTTGGTGTCAGGAAAACCTGTCAGAAGTGACTCATGAAGATAGGAGAGGAACGTGGCAGCAGACAGAAATTATATTTAATGTTCTTAATTTAGACAAGTACACACTATAGAGGGATATGCTTTGTTCATATTTCATATTTTAGATTTGCAACCATTTTAAGATTCCTAGTACATGCTGCTAAGCTGGTCTTTATATGCAATTATAAAGTCAGGCTGAGGATTGGCCTTTCCTTTTCTTTTTGAAGTGCTGAACCTGGATCCTGCTGAACTTGACACTGAGGGGCTAGCCTGAAATGTGACTTTAAGTTGCTTGGCTGTGCTAGGTGGCACTTTTTAGAGCAGTGTGTAAGGCAGGCCATTGATTATGTGATTTTCTGTCCTGCAACCATGGGCTGCAGGGAAGAAAATCGCTGGATTCCCTCATCAACACAATCATTGTTGATGGGGGGAATCCCTCTAGCGGAGGTATTGTATTCTACTGATTGGTGCAGGGAGCCGTCTCTTCTGGAAGAAAACAGCGATTATTGCTAGCAGCTATAGCCACTGGCTGCTGTAATCGAATGCTAGCAATCTGACGTGCTTGGTGTACCCAAGTTGATTGATGGATCAACTTGGGTACAATCAGCCTGCCCATCCATGGGTCGATGTTCGAACCATCTATGGCTGGCTTAATGGTTAAGTTAGTTCCTTCCAGGTCCAGAGCCGCGGCACAGCCCCAGATATGATGCTGTGTCCAAAAAAAAATCACTCCATGAGTAGGTCTTGTGGTAAGAACACCAGGAACTACCTCGTTACCAGGTCAGTTGGGCACCATTTAAAATTCCTTCTTTCCACTGGTTTTCCTGAGGGTGCTGACCAATAAAGTCAAGTTATTGTAAAGAATCTTTTCTGGTCTTGGTCTGGTCTGGGTGGTATTGAGGCCCAGAACTTCCAAATTTACAACTACGTCCCTCAGAGGAGACCCAAGCAGCTCTGCAATCTCTAAAGGCCTTGTGGCTGCAGTGAGGTGGCCCAAAACAGCAAGGGAGTAGTGTGTCCTGACTGGCCAGCATAAGTGCCACCATGGAAAGGTTTTCTACTTTCTTGTTGAAGGTGTAAGCTCCTTTTAATTCTGGGAAACACTAAAATTGTTTAAGGACGCTACTTTTATTATTCTCCACTAACAGAACTGCCATGAGCCATCACACTGTTCAGAAGCTAGTGTAAACTTCAGAGTACTATTCCCAAGGCTTCTAAAAAGACCAAAAATATAAAAAAAAATGTTATATTGAGATGACTGTGTGTGATATATACATGTATTGATAGTACTCAGTATATCATTTCTTTTTTTTTTTTCTCATGCCTTTTTTATATTTCCTCTCTATTAATGTGTGGACCAGACTGTCATGCGGTAGTCGGTGAATTTATATTACTACCAGGACTTCTGGATCAGTTGCAGCAAATTGTTGATTTTTAAATAATATAAAGCAGAACTAAACCCACCTAAAGTGCCTTGAAAAAGTATTCATACCCCTTGGAATTTTCCACATTTTGTCATGTTACAACCAAAAACGTAAATTTATTTTATTGGGATTTTATGTGATAGACCAGTGGTCTCCAAACTGGGCCAGATGTGGCCCTTTGCTTGCTTTTATCTGGCCCTTGGGGCACTATTTCATCCACTTATACCAACAATGGGGGATAATTTCACCCACTGACACCAATGCAGTGGCACACTTCTTCCCAATGACACCCAACGATGGGGCACAATTCCTCCCAATGAAAACAAAAGATGGGGCATTGTCTATTTTTACTGACATCAGGACCTTTTCTACTCCCAACAGCCACATTCCGGCCCCCTTAAAAGTCTAAAGGACTGTAAACTGGCCCTTTAGACCTGTGTGGAATTTATTCTCAGTATAGATACAGCTGTTCTGTGAAGTCCTCAGAGGTTTGATAGAGAACATTAGTGAACAAACAGCATCATGCAGGCCAAGGAACACAACAGACAGGTCAGGGATAAAGTTGTGGAGAAATTTAAAGCAGTGTTAGGTTATAAAAAAAAAATATCCCAAGCTTTGAACACCTGAAATCCTAATAAAATAAATTTACGTTTTTGGTTGTAAAATGACAAAATGTGGAAAATTTCCAGTGGTATGAATACTTTTTCAAGGCACCGTATCTTCTACACCAAGGAAGCTGCCATCTAAGCCTGTGTTTAAACCACAGTTGCCATGGTGCTGCACATTTGAAGCCAGACATTTAATGGCTTGACAGATCAGTTGAGAACAAAAGCAACTGTGACTGCATGCCTTGAATGTAATTGTTTTGGAAACACAGTCTTGGTAAATGGATGGGTTTAGTTCCACATTAACTACATGACTAAGGCCGGCCATACATGGGTCGATTTCCAAACAATTTTTTGTTCGAAAATCAGACCTAAGAATAATCGACCGATTTTCACTCTGTTAGTGTGGCAATGGCACCGGCTGATTTTCGTGGTTCCTCCCCATTTTGTTTATCGGGCATGTTGGAAAATTCCTGAAAAACGACTGATATTCAAAATTATTGGTGGTACCATCGGATTACAGAATAAACAATGGTTTTGATTTTCGATTGTAAAATCGTTCGGAATTCGAACCATGCATGGCCTGCATAAAAGCTGACTGTTGCAATAGTTTGTACCAAACAAACCCAATCCCTATGGAACGTTTGCTGGACAGCTTGGCATGCCAAAAAAAGTAATGCGAATACCAAATACTGTCTTTAAATGTATTAAACGAATACAATATGTATCATCAGAATACAATATTTTGAGTAATTTAAATCATAGCCATCTTCCAGACAATAGTTCTGTTACTGCATTCATTTGATTAAAGTCAATTTTTGATTATTCACACGTTTTCTGATCTCTTGGTTGTAGTTATTTTCCTATTTATATTCTTTTTGAACAAAGTGCACCTATAATGATCAGAAGAATGCGTATATTATCTATTTGTACACCTGTACGAGGTGTACAGTCTCTGTAGGACTTGTGCTGGTCATAGAATATTGTTGTGTAACTACCTGCGTTCCGAAGGTCACAACGTTCACTGTTTGTTACACTCTGCAAACATTGTAAAGATAACTTGATTTCATCTGAGCTCCCAGGTATATTTGTACATGAGAAAATAGAACCACAGCAGATATAAATAGACAGGCTGGCCGGTTAATTGGATCCTGTCTAAATTGGCTCTAGTATGTGTATGTATCAATGTGAGCTGGGCTGGGTTCACACTGATGCGGTGCGGAACTTGCAGCATTTTCTGTGCAAATTCTGCGCTGCATCAGAATCGCACCCCGTTCATGCGAAACCACTGCGGGTGTGTATGTTAAGTTAACAACAGCCCGAAATCGGTCCGAAAAACGCAGTTGCGATGCGCAGAATGCGATCCGATTCTAGTGCGGACCAAAAAGAGGGTCCTGCATCTGTTTGGTGCGGGTGCGGTGCGATTGGAGCCATCCAAAATTCTACAATAGATTTCAATGGAGAATCTGCTGAAATGCATGGTAGTGCATTTTTGCCGAATTTTGCGTTTTGCATTTTTATTCTGCCCAGCAACAAAAACAAATTCCACTTTAAAAAAAAAAAATGCAAAACGATTTCAATGGAGAATCTGCTGAAATGCATGGTAGTGCATTTTTGCCGAGTTTTGCATTTTGCATTTTGCCCAGCAACAAAAACAAATTCCACTTAAAAAAAAAAGAGCTGAACAAAATGCAAAACGTAGTAAAAAAACGCATCAAAATTGTGTGTATAAAAACTCAAAACGGACTACCTAAAGCACTGCAAAACGGAGAAAACGCAAACTGCATAGATGTGAATGGAACCTAAAGGAAAACAGACTGTGCACTTTGCAAATGCATTTTGACTCAGTTTCTTTAGTAAACGTAAATTGAAGGTTCACTCTGTAAAGAAAACCCAGTTAGGTGAAAGGAAAATGAAAAAAAAAAAACTTTTTTGCTTGCACATGGCTGGATGATGGAAATCAGCAGAGCTTTACGGCATTTACTACACTCTGGGGAAAATGAGTGGAAATGCACTCACAAAGTGCACAGTCTATTTGCCTTTGTTTATTCAAGCTCTTTGGATTTCTAGATGGGACAACATGCATTTATCTGTGGGCAGCATTTTTGAAGACACACAAAACATGTGCATACATTAGAGAGATGAATATGTACAGTGGGGATCGAAAGTTTGGGCACCCCAGCTAAAAATTTGTATTAATGTGCATAAAGAAGCCAAGGAAAGATGGAAAAATCTCCAAAAGGCATCAAATTACAGATTAGACATTCTTATAATATGTCAACAAAAGTTAGATTTTATTTCCATCATTTACACTTTCAAAATAACAGAAAACAAAAAAATGGCGTCTGCAAAAGTTTGGGCACCCTGCAGAGTTAATATCTTGTACTGCCCCCTTTGGCAAGTATCACAGCTTGTAAACGCTTTTTGTAGCCAGCCAAGAGTCTTTCAATTCTTGTTTGAGGTATCTTTGCCCATTCTTCTTTACAAACGTCTTCCAGTTCTTTGAGATTTCTGGGCTGTCTGTCACGCACTGCTCTTTTAAGATCTATCCATAGATTTCCAATTATGTTGAGGTCAGGAGATTGTGAAGGCCATGGCAAAACCTTCAGTTTACGCCTCTTGATGTAATCCCCCGTGGATTTCGAGGTGTGTTTAGGATCATTATCCATTTGTAGAAGCCATCCTCTCTTTAACTTCAGGTTTTTCACAGATGGCATCAAGTTACCATCCAAAATTTGCTGAAATTTTATTGAATCCATTTTTCCTTCTACTCGTGAGATGTTCCCTGTGCCACTGGCTGCAACACAACCCCAAAGCATGATTGATCCAACCCCATGCTTAACAGTTGGACAGAGGTTCTTTTCATTAAATTCTGTGCCCCTTCTTCTCCAAACGTACCTTTGCTCATTCCGGCCAAAAAAGTTCAATTTTAACCTCATCGGTCCACAGAACTTGTTTCCAAAATGCATCAGGCTTGTCTATATGTTCATTTGCAAAGTTCAAACGATGATTTTTGTGGTGAGGACGTAGAAGAGGTTTTCTTCTGATGACTCTTCCATGAAGACCATATTTGTACAAGTATCTCTTTATAGTGGAATAGTGTACCACAACTCCAGTGTCTGCCAGATCTTTCTGGAGGAATCGTGCAGTCAAACGTGGGTTTTGAATTGTTTTTCTCACAATCCTGCGAGCTGTTCTGTCTGATATTTTTCTTGGTCTTCCAGATGTTGCTTTAACTTCCCCTGTTCCTGATGACTGCCATTTCTTAATTACATTCCGAACAGAGGATATTGACATCTGAAAACGCTTTGCTATCTTCTTATAGCCTTCTCCAGCTTTGTGAGCGTCAATTATTTTCAGTTTCAGTTTTCTAGACAACTGCTTAGAAGAACCCATGGTGCTGATTGTTGGGGCAAGGTCAGATGAGTCTGGGCATTTAAAACCTTTAAGATTGACATCACCTGGTCTTCCCAGACGATGATTGAGAACAATCCATGACACTGGCAGGACTCAGCTTGGCAAAGGGGGCAGTGCATGCTATAAATTCTGCAGGGTGCCCAAACTTTTGCAGACGCCATTTTTTTGTTTTCTGTTATTTTGAAAGTGTAAATGATGGAAATAAAATCTAACTTTTGTTGACATATTATAAGAATGTCTAATCTGTAATTTGATGCCTTTTGGAGATTTTTTCCATCTTTCCTTGGCTTCTTTATGCACATTAATACAAATTTTTAGCTGGGGTGCCCAAACTTTCGATCCCCCACTGTATTTTAGAGAGATGTACTAAATATGTATTTTTTTATATATATATAATTGCCTTGTATATACTTTTGTTACTCAGCTGCCCAATAATAACTTTCCTCTAGCAGTTTGTAGCAGATTGTGCGTTTTGCAACAAATTGAAATTTATGTGATCAGCGGGAAATGTGATCTTTGCAAATGGACAGAATTCCTCTTTGAATACAGACTAATTAGTTGTCTTTGTTGTTAAAGATCTTGAAAGGGTTGAACCTCACAGTCCCCAATGGTAAAACAGTGGCCCTTGTTGGCAGTAGTGGTTGTGGAAAGAGCACGACAGTCCAGCTCATCCAGAGGTTTTACGATCCAGAGGAAGGCATGGTAAGAACACAATTTATTTCTTTTCTCCAATGCAGAAAACTGTCCACATGTTTGCAAATACATTTCCTAGCATTGCCAAAAGTCACATGCAGTGAAAAAAGTGTAATATAAAAAAGGTTTTATTTCTGAGAACTCACAAGCCCTCTGCCACCATTTAAATCGCTACTGTAGTGAATATTCAGGTTAGGAAGGGTTAGGGTTAGGCTCCATGTACACGGGACACTTCTGAACTGCTGGAAAACGTAGATTAAAAAAAGTCTGGTTAGCCGCGTTTGCATAACACGTTTATGTGCGTTTGTGTTCAGAAGCGTTTTTTTAAAGATAAGCACAGGAGAACCTCCCAAATGCCCAGAATGCACTGACAAGTACTAAATTATTAACTATTTCAGACTGTTTCAGAGAGATACAGAGAGTAGAAGCAGAGACAGCAGTATGTGTTGACATTTGCTAGGTGTGAGTTGCTCATTAACATTTCTGTTGTTTCCAAGGGTGGGAAGGTGTCTGGTGGGGGGAGTCATTAAGGCCACCTGGCAGGGGGTCTTCATGAGGAATTTGAGGTGTGAATGTTCATTAACATATCTTTTGTTTCCAAGGGTGGGAGAGGTCTGAGGCGTGAATTGATTATTATGATGTGTGACAAGCTTGGTAGGAACATCCTGTGCTCAGTGTTTTGTCCATTTGAGTACCTTGAAAACGCTTTCCATGCATTTTTTCATGATGAAAAAAGGCTCTGAAACAGCATCGGGAACTGGAAGAGTTAAAAAAAATTTCAAATGCAAATGCTTATAGACGCAATTTGCCTTGTTTAGCTGCATTTACAAACGTTTGAAATGCTGATAAAATCAACTGCTGAACGCAAGTTTTCTGCATTCAAATAAATGGCTGTAAACTCAAATGCCTGTAAACGATTGTAAACGAAGATATGTAACATGGACACATAGAACATTAGGGAGAGTTCAGGGGCTGCTGAAAAAAAACGCTGTGAGTTTATCAGCTGCAGTGTACATGAGCCCTAAATATTATCCAGAAAAAACTGCCAAATGCAGCCTTTCCTGATGAGTTTAACTTCATTTTTCTCTATGTCAGCGGTTCTCAACCTGTGGGTTGCGCCCCCTTTGTGGGTCGAACAACCCTTTCACAGGGGTCTACACATATTTCCGATGGTCTTAGGAACCGAGACACCGCTCGTCTATCAGTCTCCAGGCGGGTCCGCCCACATGCAGAACGTCCACATTTCCCTGACGCGATGTGTGCGCGGGATGACATGCCGCCCCTGTCATCTGGCCACATCCCCGGGATCACTCAACAGCTCCGCCTCCTCGCCAGTGATTGGCCACTGGAACTGTAGCTCAGGAGAGGCACACAGGCGGCCAATCACCGGCGAGGAGGAGGAGCCGAGCAGCAGCGCGAAGATCAAAGAAGATCGAGCAGGGAGCAGCCGGAGAAGGAAGACAGCTGACAGGTAAGTGTCTGTAGCGTGCAGATGGTGCTGCTGCAGCCAGTATGCTGGTTGTAGATGGGAGAGGGAGGGAGCAAGCCCAGGCTGGAGCAGGAGTCAGCAAGGTAAGTATCATTGGTGTCAGTGGGAGGAATAGTGCCCCATCATTGGTGTCACTAATACCAATGATGGGGCACTATTCCTCCCACTGACACCATGATGGGGCACTATTTCCCCCCCCCCCACTGACACCAACGATGGGGAACTATTCCTCCCCCCACTGACACTAATGATGGGGCACTATTCCTCCCCCCACTGACACCAACGATGGGGCACTATTCCTCCCCCCACTGACACCAACGATGGGGCACTATTCCTCCCCCCACTGACACAAAAGATGGGGCACTACCCCCCCCCCCCCACTGACACCAATGATGGGGCACAATTCCCCCCCCCACACTTACTATCAATGATGGGGCACTATTCCCCCCCCCCCACTGACACCAATGATGGGGCACTATTCCTCCCACTGACACCAATGATGGGGCACTATTCCTCCCACTGATACCAATGATGGGGCACTATTCCTCCCACTGACGCCAATGATGGGGCACTATTCCTCCCACTGACACCAATGATGGGGCACTATTCCTCCCACTGATACCAATGATGGAACACTATTCCTCCCACTGATACCAACGATGGGGCACTATTCCTCCCACTGACACCAACGATGGGGCACTATTCCTCCCACTGACACCAATGATGTGGCACTATTCCTCCCACTGACACCAATGATGTGGCACTATTCCTCCCACTGCAAAATTACAGTTATGAAGTAGCAACGAAAATAATTTTATGGTTGGGGGTCACCACAACATGAGGAACTGTATTAAAGGGTCGCGGCATTAGGAAGGTTGAGAACCACTACTCTATGTGCTCATGAGATTTATATTTTTTATTCTTTATAACACGATATTAAATAAACAATATAGCAGAATGTGACTGAGACTCAATCCCTACACGGGTATCTATAATGGCATATTGCTGTACTTGTGAAAATGAAAAGAAAATGTTATTAGTGAAAATAATTTACCATTTTTTTTAATGTTTCTTTTATTTTGAATGTGTGCTTTATCCCTGCAGATCACAATAGATGGACAAGACATTCGGAACTTAAACTTGAGATACTTAAGGGAGATTATTGGTGTGGTCAGCCAGGAGCCAATCCTGTTTGATACCACCATTGCCGAGAATATCCGATATGGCCGTGAGGATGTTACGATGGAGGAAATCATAAGAGCCACCCAAGAAGCCAACGCATACAGCTTCATCACGAAGCTTCCAGATGTAAATTCTATATTCTTTTATTGGGAGGAGAATATCTGACAATATTATTATAATTATTATACAGGATTCGTGGTATATGGCACCAATATTACAGTTAGAGTCACATACATTTCAATACAATGGGACAGTATTCATATTTGCATGGTTTTCCTCCAGAAATGTCTCCTTTAGTGTACTGTCTGAGATCTTCTTCAGTTTATTTTCCATTTTTACATATATCTAGCAGTCATATTTGTATCCATTTTGATATAATCTCCTATATCCAACACACAGCGGCACTCAGGCTGCAACGGGGAGGGGCTGCATTATCAGCCAATCAGGGCTCTACTTTGCACATTGCTGTCAGTCTAGCAGTGTAATAATGCTTACAAGAGGTGGGCACACTGGGGTGAACTCTCTTAGGTTTTGGCACTCCTAAATAGTCCAATATCTGATAGGAATGGGTCCTTGACCAGGCTGTATTGCTTTACTGCAGAGTAGCACACAGTGAGGTCCAGAAACTGGCTGTAATGTCTGGCAGGAGTGCTTGGATCACAAACCTGGCTAAAGAGAATTCCAAATATTTTGGGTTGTAAAGCAGATCACATATAAATACTTCTAGTTGGTATTTAGCAATTATCCTGAAGCTCAGCTTCCAAGTGTTACTAAACTCACAAGAGTGAAATCAGTCTATATATGCAGTAAAGCATGCTTGTTATACTCACTGTGGAACGTAAGGGGTTAATCCTCTGCATTGTGTAAAAAGGCTGTTTGATCCTGTCTTCTCTAATCCTCCCCTTCTTCCAGTACTCCACCCCCCTTATCTCCTGATAAGACATATCCTATGGAGTCACTCTACTCATGCTCAGTTTGGTGTGTATTGTTAGTGAGGTTTTTTTTTCCTGGGAGAGTGCATGTGATCAGCACAGGGCCAGTCAGCACTGTCCACTGACAGAGGTCAGGGGTTCTGCATCCTTCTAGAGCAGAAAGAAAACGCCTCCCACAAGCTTTAACCAGTGTTCAGCTGGACACTGATAGAAGTCACAAGACTGCTCTAACTGCTGATGAGAAAAGGTATTTAGCAGTTTATATTTAAAATAATTGCATTTCCATGTTGTGTGTACTGTGGGACATCAGATATAGTGTATGCAGGGTCATGTGTTAAGTAACACTTTAATGTTTTTTTAAAGTATAACTCCACCTTTGTGACAAGTATGGTACTGTAAACAGGACAATGAAATATTAAGTACATGTGAAATGTAAACTGCCTGTCTGTTCTGTTAAGCCTTGTTCAGTCTTGTGGCCTAACCCTTCCTGCCAAACAGCATAGCCAGGTCTTTCACACAGATCAGTTTTGCAGCAGAAGCGGAAGAAAAATGCATGCAAAATGCATCCCTTTAAATCCTTTGGAACTATTCACACTGATCTGTTGCATTTCAGTTACGGTTTTAAAAGTTCTCCTTGCTGCATTTTTGGTGCATATTCGGTATATGTTAAAAAAACGCACCAAATATCCACCTACCCATTGAAATTAATAAAAAATGCATAAAAAAACACACACAATGCTTGCGATTTTAGTGCCTTTTTTGAGTCACATGTCCATTTTTCACAGCTGCAGGCAACCAGGAAACGCACTGGAAATGCTTCAAAAGCATCCCTCTTCCCTCCAATGGCAATGGTCACCAGGACAAAAAGAGAAAAGAGTTTAAAGTAAAAGTGGGGCGGCACAGTGGCTTAGTGGTTAGCACATCTGCCTTGCAGTAAATGGGTCATGGGTTCGATTCCCGACCATTGCGCCTCCTGCATGGAGTTTGCATGTTCTCCCTGTGCTTGTGTGGGTTTCCTCCAGGTGCTCCAGTTTCCTCCCACACTCCAAAGACATGCTGGTAGGTTAATTGGATCCTGTCTAAATTGACCCTAATATGTGTATGTATGAATGTGAGTTAGGGACCTTAGTTTGTACACCCCATGAGGGATAGGGACTGATGTGAATGTTCAATATATATATATGTGTGTAAAGCACTGCATAAATTGACAGCACTATATAAGTACCTGGAATAAATAAATAGAAGTATAGGCAAAACTTTTTATTTTCATTTTGGATAGAGTAAGAGAGAGTTATAACCCCCGTCCAGGGACAGACTGACCATTTGGAAACTCTGGCACTGCCCGAGGGCCCGGGGTTAGTAGGGAGCCCCATGAGATGCCCCTGGTACCTTTTTCATAGGCTTTTTTGAGTTTGGGCAAGGACACAGGGGCCCCATTATCCCCTATTGCCCGGGGGCCCCATGAGTTGTCAGTCCGCCCCTGCCCCCGTCAGATTTTTTTTGCCATCTGTGTTTAATTGGGGAGATTTCCCTTCATTACCTGTTCCATAGCCAAACAGGAAGAGATAGGAAATCCATGCAAATGAAGAATTCCTTGGGGACCCCCAGATCACCAGAACTAGTGTCCCCATCGAAACATTTCCCCTCTTTTACTTTTCTGAGGACAACCCAAAATTTGGGCCTATCTTTTACTTTCAATAATAATGGACAGGACAAATATAGAGGGTGAATGTCCTTAATGGGGGCACAGACAGCAACAAAAACCTGACAGATGTTCTAATCCCTCTCCACTCTAAAATCTAAAACTAAAAAGAAAAGTTTTGCCTTTTAGTTATACTTTAAGGTTCGTATTTATGAAGCAGTGACCTCTTTAATAACTAGACATGTGAATGTGTGCATTTCCAGAAATTTGACACACTCGTGGGGGAGAGAGGGACTCAACTGAGTGGAGGTCAGAAGCAGAGGATCGCCATTGCACGGGCTCTGGTCCGCAACCCCAAAATTCTCCTTCTGGATGAAGCCACTTCTGCCCTGGACACAGAGAGTGAAGCCAAGGTGCAGGCAGCCCTGGATAAGGTATTCAGTCACATCCTTTCTGTATTCTGCTCGGGCTCTTTCCTTTGGGAAGTCTTACATGCTCCACCATGCTCTGTTCAGCACTCTCCAATGCTTAAAAGGACTTCAAGTCTAACATCAACTAGTCCTAAAAATGCTTCCCCCCCCCCCCCCTCCTCCTATCTATCTTGTCTGTAAAACAGTATCTGATTTAAAATCTCAAATAAAAAGCGTCTCCGGCTATAAAAGTAATAATTCATAACGGCAAAAAATTATTTTGGCAATAATGCAAAATACTTGTCCTTTATCCTAGGCTAGAGAAGGCCGGACAACCATCGTCATAGCCCACCGCTTGTCCACAGTACGAAACGCTGACCTTATTGCTGGATTCAATGATGGCACCATTTGTGAAGAAGGAACTCATAGTGAGCTGATGAAGATACCTAAAGGAGTTTATTACAACCTGGTCACCATGCAAGTAAGTAGAAATTACTTCCCAAGATGCAATACATAGAATGCAGATCTTCAAAACCTTGCATGCAGGAGAATGACACGTCATACACTTTCCCTTGTGTGTTTTTCAGTGTCTAGCTTTTAGTTCCAAACAGGGGTGGACTGACCATTTGGAAACTTGGGCGCTGCCCGAGCGCCCGGGGTCAGTAGGGTGCCCCATGAGATGCCCCTGGTACCTTTTTCATAGGCTTTTTTGAGTTTGGCCAAGGACACAGGGGCCCCATGATCCCCTCTTTCCCGGGGGCCCCATGAGGTGTCAGTCTGCCCCTGGTTCCAAACACAATGGGGGTTATTTACTAAAACTGGAGAGTGCAAAATCTGGTGCAGCTCTGCATAGAAATCAATCAGCTTCCAGGTTTTATTGCTAAAGCTTAAATGAAGAAACTGAAGTTAGAAGCTGATTGGCTGCCATGTAGAGCTGCACCAGAGTCTGAGGGCACCAGTTTTAGTAAATGTACCCCAATGTATTAATGGAAGGGGCAGACATTAAAGTTTATGTAAACCCTAAAAATGAACTTATTTGTTCCCTTTTGGTCTATCATTGAAAACATTTGCTATATCTGTTTGATAAGTGCAAAAAAAAACGAACCTGTTGATCCTACCAGGAATCCAGTGCTATCCTAGTCGCTGTGCAGTGCTGTCGACGTCACACAAATATGCGGCCGCACAGAACTGGGCTTTTTTCCGTGGGGCCGCATATTTGCGTACCTGTCTTTGCGCTGGGAGCGTGCAGCACGGCGCACTTCCAGCAAAAAAGACCGCGGTGTCACTGAGAGCACCGGGTCCCATTCTAACGATTGGGACCCGGGATTCCCGATTCCGGGTCACATTATCGCTGTGATAGCCTCTAGTTATCACAGTGATCAGTCACTGTGCAGGCCGGCCCCCTTGGTTTTTTTTTCTCTCTCTATGAATGGAGGAGAGAGATACATTGTATCTCTCTAATTCCTGGCATAGAGGGGAAAAAATGTTTGTAAAAAAAAAAAAAAAGAAAAGATAAATAAATAAATATTAAAACATAAAAGAAAAAATAAAGAAAAAATACCTAGATCAAGGTTTGATCTACTTCAGTGCCAGGGTTAGTGGTTTGGTAAGGGTCAAAGGTCAGGGTTAAAGGTCAGAATTAAAAAAACAAATTTGGTATCAGTGTCAGTTAATGTCAGTGTCAGAGTGTTTTTTAGGTAAAAAAAGGACAAAAACAAAATGCACACTATTGTTTCTGGGCTGTACTACGGGTACAAACAACAAATAACATACACATATATGGTATCACTGTGATCGTCAAGAGCTGGAGAATTTATTTTGGGTTGTTCTTTGGTGGTAGATTATGGTAGTAACAAGAAACACGCAGCTAAATAAAAAAAAATTTTTTTTACTATTTTGGGCCAGTTTTCCTTTGATAATACAAAAAAAAAAATCAGGAGATATCCATTACCATTTACCACCAAATGAAAGCCCAATTTATCCTGAAAAAAACGCGGTATAATTCACCTGGATGTACAGAGTAGTTGTGATGATATGTACAGTTTTACTATTACATATCAACGGTGCAATATTGTGCTTAGGCATTTAGATTTGTTTTAGGCATGAAGGGGTTAAGCAATGTTATCAGTCCTGCCCAGTTACAGAACACTTCCCCCTAAATGATGAAGAAGATGAGAGGGGAAGGTGTCCCCATAGTTCTGACATACTTCTTGCCCTTCAGTGATGTTGCTGTCACTCCATTGATTCAGTACATTAGGTGAGCGTTTTCACTTGAGAACCGGAAGTGTATATCTGGCAGGATCACTGTTAGAAAAAAGGCAAAAAGCCCTGTTCACTGGTAAAACCTGTGAACAAAGCCTAAATGTGGAACGTTTGTGAAATACTGGACAGTTTTTTATTTGTATCTGGTTCCAATAGCTGTGCCCGTACAATACTCACCCCTGCTCACTTGCCAGTGCCAACATCCTTTTCCCAGCTTCTTCTAGGTGTTGGGTCTTTCGCCACCTTGCTTGACTAGAGGGGAATGACGTAACTCCTGCTCATGCACACGGGAGCTCATTTGTTCTGGCAACGAGGTGTGCCAAGGATTTACACTGAGCAGCAGATGTGCATCTCACTGTACATTCTAAAGAAGGGGATTGTGAACAGGTAGGTAGGTTTTATGTATTGCAGAAGAGGCGCTGTATACTGCGTGCTGCTATAGAGATCCTGTCTGCTCATGTTCCTTCGTTATTCACTTTAGTTCTTCTTTAACATGACACTGGACTGAGGTGTCTGCAGAATCGCAGGGTATTGAGAGCTCAGATGGGCATATGGTTTAGCACCTTTATACACAAGGCTGCCCCTGCATAGGGAATGGAGTTCTTCCTTGTGTAAACCACGGCTTTCCTTTAATATTATAATAAAAATGTATTTGCCGTTTATACTCATTTTTAGAGATGAGCGAATTATTCAAAAATTCGATTCGGCTGATTCGCCGAATTTCAGGAAGAAATTCGATTCGATGCGAATTTATTCGCTACGAAGTTAACTTATAAAAAGGGTTTCTAGGCTTCAGAGAGCCTTTAAATTAGTGCAGAACACTGTACCTTTTAATTTAAATGCCCTTGGAGATGAGGAAGGAGAAGGAGAAGGAGAAGGATGAGAAGAAGGAGAAGGAGAAGGATGAGAAGAAGGAGAAGGAGAAGGATGAGAAGAAGGAGAAGGATGAGAAGAAGGAGAAGGAGAAGGATGAGAAGAAGGAGAAGGATGAGAAGATGGAGAAGGAGAAGGATGAGAAGATGGAGAAGGAGAAGGATGAGAAGAAGGATGAGAAGAAGGAGAAGAAGGATGAGAAGGAGAAGGAGAAGGATGAGAAGAGGAGAAGGATGAGAAGAAGGAGAAGGAGAAGGATGAGAAGAAGGAGAAGGATGAGAAGAAGGATGAGAAGAAGGATGAGAAGAAGAAGAAGGATGAGAAGAAGGAGAAGGATGAGAAGAAGGAGAAGGATGAGAAGAAGGAGAAGGATGAGAAGAAGGATGAGAAGAAGGAGAAGGATGAGAAGAAGGAGAAGGATGAGAAGAAGGATGAGAAGAAGGAGAAGGATGAGAAGAAGGATGAGAAGAAGGAGAAGGATGAGAGGAGAAGGAGAAGGATGAGAAGAAGGAGAAGGATGAGAAGAAGGATGAGAAGAAAGAGAAGGATGAGAAGAAGGAGAAGGATGAGAAGAAGGATGAGAAGAAGGAGAAGGATAAGAAGAAGGAGAAGGATGAGAAGAAGGAGAAGGATGAGAAGGAGAAGGAGAAGGATGAGAAGAAGAAGGATGAGAAGAAGGAGAAGGATGAGAAGAAGGAGAAGGATGAGAAGAAGGAAGAAGGAGAAGGATGAATGGAAACAAATAGATACAATGTTTCAACCGCTGTATGGAGGGAATGTCACAGAACTGTCAGAAATAGCGGAGCTCTGCAGATACACTTAGCGGAGCTCTGCAGATAGATACAGCGGTTGAAACATAGGCTATGTTTCAACCGCTGTATGGAGTGAATGTCAGAGAACTGTCAGAAATAGCCTATTTCTGACAGTTCTCTGACATTCACTCCATACAGCGGTTGAAACATAGCCTATGTTTCAACCGCTGTATCTATCTGCAGAGCTCCGCTAAGTGTATCTGCATAAATCTGCAGAGCTCCGCTATTTCTGACAGTTCTGTGACATTCCCTCCATACAGCGGTTGAAACATTGTATCTATTTGTTTCCATAAATGGAAACAAATAGATACAATGTTTCAACCGCTGTATGGAGTGAATGTCCCAGAACTGTCAGAAATAGGCTATTTCTGACAGTTCTGTGACATTCACTCCATACAGCGGTTTCAACAACATTCCTCCATACAGCGGTTGAAACATTGTATCTATTTGTTTCCATAAATGGAAACAAATAGATACAATGTTTCAACCGCTGTATGGAGTGAATGTCACAGAACTGTCAGAAATAGCGGAGCTCTGCAGATACACTTAGCGGAGCTCTGCAGATACACTTTTTGCCGGCTTGGAATTATTCTTATTTTCATCCTACTTCTTCTGCAGAATAGAGGAGCTCTGCAGATACACACTTTTTGCCGGCTTGGAATTATTCTTATTTTCATCCTACTTCTTCTTCTTCTTCTTCATCCTCATCCTCAGAAGAAGAAGAAGAGGGGAGGATGAGGATGAAGAGGAAGAAGAAGAAGTAGGATGAAAATAAGAATAATTCCAAGCCGGCAAAAAGTGTATCTGCAGAGCTCCTCTATTCTGCAGATACACTTAGAGGAGCTCTGCAGATACACTTTTTGCCGGCTTGGAATTTATTCTTATTTTCATCCTACTTCTTCTTCTTCTTCTTCATCCTCATCCCTCTTCTTCTGAGGATGAGGATGAGGATGAAGAAGAAGAAGAAGAAGAGGAAGAAGTAGGATGAAAATAAGAATTCCAAACCGGCAAAAAGTGTATCTGCAGAGTTCCTCTATTTCTGACAGTTCTCTGACAGCTCCTTCACATGTACAGCGGTTGAAACATCTGTTTCCGAATAAAAACATCTGTATCCTAAATGGAAACAAATAGATACAATGTTTCAACCGCTGTACATGTGAAGGAACTGTCAGAGAACTGTCAGAAATAGCGGAGCTCTCTGCAGGAACACTTTTGCCGGCTGATCGGGAAAAATCCGATTCGCGCACCCGAAGT